GCTCTCCTGGAACTAGCTATGTAGATCAGGCTGGCCTTGAACTCACAGAGATCAACTTGCCCCTACCTTTTGGGCGCTGGGATTAAAGGTGTGTGCCACCACCTCCTGAGGGCTGTGTCAGCAGGGGTCCTGCTGGTGGGGGACAAAAGCTGCCAGGCTTTTGTCTTAAGTCAGGAGGTTTAAGTAGAAGCTGGCCATTTTGGAAATTCACTGCCTTTATTACCTAACCATAGCCCCTCTCCCTGTCTGTCTGCTGACCAGGGAGTCTGTCTTACTAAGATGAAAGAGAGTATTCCCTGCCATTGGGTGGGGGGCGGTTACAGCCCAGAGAAAAAAGGCATCAAGTGACCCAGGGTCTAGTTTTGATCCTGAGCCCAGTTCCTCTGAGTCTCATGTTTCCTGTCAACAGGCCCCAGTGATCTTCACTTCTCTGTTCTCTCCAACCAGAGCCCAGTGATCTATCTATACCTTTTCTTTCTTTCTGGGTGCTTTAAAGTATGTGTGTGTGTGTGTGTGTGTGTGTGTGTGTGTGTGTGTGTGTGTGTGTGTGTGTGTCTGTGTCTGTGTCTGTGTCTGTGTGTGTGTCTGTGTGTGTGTGTGTCTGTCTGTCTGTCTGTCTGCCTGCCTGCCTGCCTGCCTGTCTGCCTGTCTGCCTGTGTGTGGTTATGAGTATGTGTCTCTGAGTGAAAATGCCCATGGAGGACAGAAAAGGGTGTTGGATCCTCTGTAGTGGGAATTGTGAGCTGCCTGACCTGGGTATTGGGGACCAAAATTGGGTCCTCTGGAAGAGCAGCAAGTGCTGTCTTAGTGACTGTTCTATTGCTATGAGGAGGCACCATGACCAAGGCAACTCTTAGAAAAGAAAACTTCAGAGGTTTAGTCCATTATCATTATGGTGGGGGATGTGGTGATCCCATGCTTACAGAGGCTTTTGAAACCTCAGATTCCACCCCAAGTGACATACAAGGTCATACCTCCTAATCCTTCTCAAATACTGCTACCCCCTGTGACTAAGCACTCAAATACATGAGTTTACAGGGACCGTTCTTACCCAGACCAACACATGCTCTTAACCACTGAGCCTTTCTCCAGCCCCTGAATGATTTTTTTTTCTGTTTTTTCAAGACAGATTCTCTCTTTGTGACCAGGCTGGCCTCACACTCACAGACCCACCCGCCTCTACCTCTTGAGTGCTGGGATGAAAGATGTGTGCCACCACTGCCCATCTTGGGTGATTTTGAGTTGTTTACATGTGTATAACAAATGGTACCATTCTAACCATTTTGCACACACAGTTCTGTGACATTAAGTGCATCCCGTTGCTGTGCCACCACCACCACCATCCACCTCAAGACTCTATCTTCCCAAACAGAAGGTCTGTACTTACTGACACAACTCCCCGTTCTTCTATTCCTCGGTCCCTAGTAGTCCCACTCTACTGTCTAACTCTGATGGTGACTACCCTAGGTACTTCATGGGGCTTGGGGGGTATCTTACATAATTTGTTCTCTGAACCTGACCTCTCACTCAGAACAATGTCTTCAAGATGCATTGATGTTGTAGCAGGTGCCAAAATTTCCTTCCTCTGTAAGGTTGACAAGTCCATTGTATGCATATGTTATTCATCCAATAACCTGTGGGTGGGTAACTAGCAGCTTTCACCTTTTGAACATTGAAGACAATTCTGTTGTGACCATGAGTATATACATGCCTTTGTAAAAGGAAGTATCCATTATGGATTGTATACCTAGGTTTTCCAGGATCCACAATACTGTTTCTATAGTATCTCTGCTATTTTACATTCTCAATAGAGAAGGGCTCTAGTTTCTCCACATCTTTACCAACACTTGTTATTTTATATTTTTAAAATAATAGTCAGGATGGAGAGATGACCCAGAGGTTGTTAAGAGCACAGACTGGTCTTCCAGAGGACCAGGGTTCAGTTCTCAGCACCCACATGGTACCTAACAGCCTGTAATTCTAGTTGCAGGGGCACTACATACATGTGTTACAAAGACATTCATGTAGGCAAAGTACTCATAAAATAAAATAAAATCTAAAAAATAGCTTCCCCATGAGTATGAATGATATCTCATTGTAGAGGTTTTTGTTGTTGTAGTGTTAGGGACTAGACCCAGAGCCTCATTAATGCTAGGCAAACCTTTTGCCACTGAACTATGTCTCTAGTCCAAAGATAAACAGCCCAGAATAGTCTCTAATTCATAATCTTGTTGCCTCATCCTAATCAGTATTTACCACAACAAACAGGCTTATTGCAGTTTTGATCTGTATTTCCCTAATGCAAATATATATGACTATATATTTCTTATATGATCATTTATAAATATAAATATATTTCTTGGGAGAAGTGCTAATTTGGGTTCTTTCCTCCATTTTTGTTGTTGTTATTTGTTTGAGATTCTATAGCCTAAGCTGGCTTTGAACTCCTGATACTCCTGCTCAGCCTCTTCAGAATTATAAGCATATGCTATCATATCTGGCACCTTTCTCTTTCATTCATATATATGTATGCATATATCACATATATATAATATATATTCATATATATTAGTTTTGTTGTTGAGTTGCAGGGTTCCTTATTTTCTGGACATTTACATTTTATCCTGTGTATGAGATTTCAAAGACTTTCTCCCATTCTATAGGTTGTCTTTTACTCTGTTGTTTGTCTTTAATGCATGGGATGCAATTGGTGGTGTTGAGATCAAAGTCAGGGCATGCAGAAGGTGGTTACCTGCCACTTGGCTCTGCCACTGAGCTACATCTCCAGCCCCAGAAGTTTTTAATACTGAGTAGTCTTTTGTTGCCCATGCCATTAGTGTTAGATCCATGAAATCATTGTCAAATTATGTGTCATGAAACTTTTCCCCTGCTTCTAAGAGTTTTACAGTTTTAAACACTAGTGTTCACATCTTTCATAAATTTAGAGACCAAAAAAAAAAATCAACACACACACACAAAAAGTCGGGTGGTGGTGGTGCTAGGGTTAGGGTTAGGGTTAGGATTAGGGTTAGGGTTAGGGTTAGGGCTAGGGTCTTTAATCCCAGCACTTGTACTTGGGAGGCAGAGGCAGGCGGATCTCTGTGAGTTCTGAGGCCAGCCTGGTCTGAAGAGCAAGTTCCAGGACAGCCTCCAAAGCTACAGAGAAACCCTGTCTCGAGAAACGAGAGAGAGAGAGAGAGAGAGAGAGAGAGAGAGAGAGAGAGAGAGAGAGAGAGAGAGAGAGAGAGAGAGAGAGAGAGGAGTTAATGTAGTATAGGGAAAAGTGTACAACTTCGTCTTTTTGCATATAGAAAGCCATTTTAAAAACAATTATTTTACTGTTTTGCCTGCATGCCTGTCTGTGTATCTTATGCATGCCTCGTGCCCAGGTAGGTCAGAGGAGGCTATCTGATCCCCTGGAACTGGAGTTACAGATGTTTGTGATGTGTCTTGATGATGCTGGGAATGGAGCCTGGGTTCTCTGGAATAGTAGCCAGTGTTCTTAACTCCCATCGCTCCAGCCCCAGGAGTCATGTTCCAATACCAGAATTGTCCTTTCTCCATTAAATGATCAAAAGGTTGTTACATATCAAGGACTCAGCACCATGTGTTTCAGTGAGTGAGCTTTACATCACTGTGACAAATGGTGTTAGTCCAGGGTCAGTTGACTGTTGGTGGGAAATATGTGGGTAAGCAAAACTGCCCCCTTATGGCATCTAGGAAGCAGAGAGTTCCCCAGATCCTCTCCAAGAGCATGTTCCGAATGACCTAACTACCTTTTACACAGCTCAGCCTCCTACAGCTCCACCACCTCCCAGTGGCACCAGAGATGGGCAACCAAGCTCTTAGCCTCAGGTTTTTGTAGGGTGGAGGGAGGGGGGATTAAGATCCAAACCATGATGCCGTACCCACAGTAGCTTATTGAATTTCCCGTTATTCCTTCTTCTCTTCTGGGATGCAACTTTAGCTATTGCAGTTGTTATTTTGTTTTTTGTTTTGCTTGTTGGTTTTTTGGTTTTTCGAGGCAGGGTTTCTCTGTGGCTTTGGATCCTGTCTTGGAACTAGCTCTTTTAGACCAGGCTGGTCTTAAACTCAGAGATCCACCTGTCTCTGCCTCCCGAGTGCTGGGATTAAAGGTGTGTGCCACCACTGCCCAGCTGCGGTTGTTATTTTGAAGATGGAGGTTTTTGTTCTACCTGGTCCAGCAGCTATTTAGTCCCAATAAACACACAGAGGCTTCTATTACTCATAAACTCTCTAGATGGCTCAGGCTTCTTATTGGCTAGCTCTCTTTTAATTATTAACCTATATCTGTTAATCTATGTATTTTCATATGGTCTTGGGTTTACCAGTGATGCCTGGTCTCCTTTCTTCCTTGGCAGCTACATGGCCTCTCTCACGTCCCACCCACACTGCATCCTCTCCCTAGACTTCTCCTAGTCTGGTAACCCCGCCTATACTTCATGCCTGGCTACATCCTGCCTGTCTATTGGCCAAAACAGCTTTATTTATCAGCCTGTAAGACAAATACATATATTCACAGCATATAGAAGGACATCCCCTATCAATTTCCCATAATTATAATAGCAGATATCTGTAGAGGCCAGGTTGCGTGCCAAGCTTTATTCCAAGATTTACACATATTAAACCCTTCTGATGTCTGCTGAAGTTTTAATTAGGTCAGGCACCTTCAGGCTAATGTATTTGTTCAGAGTTACACAAGTAGTGAGTGGTGGATCCTGTATTCTCTCTCAGTGGTTTGGCTCTGGGGTCTGTGGGCTCTAGGGCTCAGGCCTCCTAGTTACGGGATTTGGAGACTAGACAACCTTGGCCGTTGGGCTCAGAGTGCTCCTGGAACCTTGGCCCTTGGGCTCAGTGCTCCTGGATGTTCTCTTGTGAAAACAATAGCCCCAGAAGTGGTGCTTCTAGTCTCTTTCCATTTCCTTCTAGGGCTCCTTATTCCAGGAGAAATATAAAACAGTTTCTTTCTAATTTCACAGAGAAGGCCACGGATGGCTCCCTGCAGAGTGAGGACTGGACATTGAATATGGAGATCTGTGACATCATCAATGAGACAGAGGAAGGGTATGTTTCCCTGGGAAACTTTTCGGTTTGGGCAGGATGTCACATGTAGCTTGCCAGAGTTCAGTGTGGTGGGTTCCACTCTGGTGGGTTTTTAATTATTACTGTTATTTTTAATATGTTTGATTTGGCCTTAATAAGCTGAAATTCAGTCATTTGTCTTTCTACCTCCCCCTCGCTCATGTCCCCGAGTGACAGTGCTCCAGTTGTGGGTAGAAATGGAGCTGCCTGGCTACTTGTATAATCCTCCTCACATCCTGCTTCCTTCCGTGTTGCAGCCACAGGGGCTGTCTGTACCCTGGGTTGCTTTCTAGGGCTTATGGAAGAAGGCCCAGAGTCTAGTCAGACAAAGGAGTGACATAGAGTAGCTGAGCATGTCTAGCACGGATGGACTTGACCTGCAGCTTGCCCTCTTGCCTTTCTGCCTGCTGAGTTGGTTCTTGGTGTTATTGGGTACTCCCCTGCACTCCTTCTCTGTAGCTCCACTCTATTTGTATTCTTATGGGATAGTCTGATTTAGGATTTTGTCCACAGCATAAACAAACCCATTTACTCTAACCATGCTCTTTTCAACTCCAGAGTGTTGAGGAGAACAGTTGGGACTCAGACAGCCTAGGCTTGTACATTGGTGCTGTTATCTTCTCAATAGTCCTCTCAAGTCAGTTCTGCTTTCGTTCAACAGATACTTATAAAGTGCTTGCCTTTTGTAGAGACACAGTTGTAAATAATAAGGAGGGTACAACAGTAAGCAAGACACAGTTCCTCCCATTGGGAGCTGCCAGACTGGAGCAGGGAGGCAAACTGAACAAGACAAACCACATAAGCTGATCAGGTGGGCTGAGCACTGTGGGGGTGGGGGTGGGGCCAGGGCAGAGAGGTGGCACCGTCTGGCTTTAATTTTGAATGGCCACCCTTTGTTCAGATTGTGCTCCCCTGGGCAGGACAAAGACAGTAGGGGTTTATTAGAGACATCCTGTTGTGGATTGATGGTAAGCTGGACTGGAATGGTGGTAAGGATGAGGGAGGCATCATTAGATTCTGGGGAGATTCATAATGTAAAACTAATTAGAATTTGCTGATATGGGATATGAGCAAAATGTCAAGGATAACATCGAGGTTTGGGACCCGCAAAACAGAAGGAAGGAGCTGCTAGTGCTGACGTGGAGCAGGCAGAGGACAGATCTAGATCTGAGCTCCCAAGAATGTGGGACCCACCCACTAGTGCTCGTCCATGGCCTGGGGGCTATGGCCTGGCCTGTGCCCAGGATGGCCATCTCCAAGGGAGAAGTGCCATAGATGCCTTCTAAAGGGGCCAGCTTTGAGCTGGGCTTCTGGACTGGGAGGAAGAGAATTGTGACTTGCACGCAGGGTAGCACAGAAAGGGATCAGGTGACCTGGGTCACATGGTGAATGGGACACTGGGAAGCAGGCTGGGGATGGCTCATTCTCTTCTGAACTCTACCCTGCAAAATGCATTAGCTTCTTCCTTCTACCTCCCCTGCACTTCCTGATGCAGGGTCCAGCAAGTGGCTTGCTCCCTAGCAAGCCTTCCAGAGCGTTCTTAAAGTTTTAGCATAAAACCCTTTATCACACACCTCTGCAGCCTTTCTTCAGACCCTTCAGCCTCACATTTCTGTCCCTAGTCAAATATCTGACCTGCACTAAGGGCAGAAAGTCCAAGAACCCTGGGATCTTCTTCCTTCCAAAACCTGAAATCCCTGTCACAGCGAGAGACCGGGGACCCACTTTCTGTCACGGCTCACAGAAGACCTGGTTGTGTGTTTTGCAGTAGTCTAGCCTCTTGTTCATTTCATGTGTGTTGGAATGACAGTGTGGTGAATTTTGAAGAGTTTCTGTGCTTGCCTTTATTGTAACATGTCTGCTGAAATCTCTTCCACACGGGGAAAGAGAAAACAAAACACACCCAAGCTCCCTCTACTACCTGATCCTGGCTGGAGGTTTCTCAATGTTGTTCCTCATGTTTCTCCAGCCAGTCTCCCTGTCACTAAGTGGATCCCGTCAGTTATTGGATCTCAACATAAATTTCACTCCTCTGACCCTTCCCTCTTGACTTGTCATCGTATGTGGTATTGTACTCTGTGATGTTTTTTGGTGTCTGTGTTGCTCCACAACCTACTAGTCTGTACACTTCATGAGGACAGGGATTCCATCTATTACACTCACTATTTTATCTCTCAAACAACACAGTTTACACATAATCTCTCTCTGTCTCTCTGTGTGTGTGTGTGTGTGTGTGTGTGTGTGTGTGTGTGTGTGTGTGTGTGTATGGCAGGCCTCATGTATCTGAGGCTATATAGACCTTTAGTTTCTGATCCTCCTGCATTACCTCCTGAGTGTTGGGATTACAGGTGTTGGTCATCACACCTAGTTTATGCAGTGCTAGGGATCAGACCCAGGGCTTCGTGTATGCTAGGCAAGCACTCTACCAGTTGAGCCACATCTCAGCTCATAACCAGCTCTTAATAAATATTTTAAAGTGTGTAAAGAATTAATGAAATCCCTAAGGCAGTCTGATGAGGAATGCAAGCATGTAAATATAATCATAACACAGCATGACAAAGACTGAGACAGAAACAGAGCAAGAAGAGCTGCATGTAGCTGCAGAGACAGCATGTGCAGTGATTCCCAGACAGCCTGGGGGCCATCTGAAGCAAAGCCTTTTGAAGGTGATGACACTTCAGTAGACTCTTGCAGTGTACTGGGATTTTAGCAAGTTGAGGCAGGTGGGTGATAGGGAAAGCAGTGAATGTATCAGGTGCGCAGGTAGCATGGTAGTGTGGATAAAGGGGTGTGGAGCCTGGCACCATCTACCTGGGCTAGAAGCTTATGTCACCACTCTCTTATACAACCCTGAGTGTGTTCCATCTCCCTGTCCCTGTTTCATCACATGTAAAAATGATTTGCCAGCAGTGCCCATCTTACAGAGTTATAGTGAAAATTAGGGAGTGAATAATTCCTATATAGTGGGTGTAGTGTAGAGCAGTCAGATAGGCCGACTCTGATGAGGATCCAATGATCTGGATCATTTCACAACCATTTTTGACTATCCCCTAACTCACTGACTGAGTCCTTCTGCTGCAGCCTCTAAGGTAGAATAACATGGGAGATCCAGTAAATGCCGTAGAGAGAATGGTGGCTGAGGGCGTGTTTGGGAGAAGAAGCTGTAGCTGGAGACATAATTCGCAGCTGTTTGAGAGCCACTAAAGAGCTCCCCACTACTGAAAAGAAGGGCTTGCAGGAGTCTGATAGGAGCATGGGCAGCCAGAGACTAGACTTGAGGCCCTTGGGACTGCCCTCATGGGCCCCCCCTTTCTACTGAGAGCTCCTGGGGCTCATGTTTCCCTTGATCCTGCCGGCCTACCTGATTGTGGCCCTTGACTCAGCAGTTGTTCCTTCAGCCTTTGATAGCACCTTTAAATTTTGTGGTTCCTCTAACATGCCGGTGATGCTCTCCTCTGATACTTCCCCCTCAGATCAGCAGAAAGAAATGCTTCTCTTTTGTTCTCAGGTAGCACTTCCTCAAGCGTAGCTCTTGGGAAGGGATTTTCAGCTTAAATGTAACCAGAACCTGCCTACTATCTGATTGCCCTGCACCGGTAATCTGGGAGTGCGGACACACTGTCAGCCAGAAGCACACCCTCCTCCAGAGTAGTGCCTGTTTTTCTCACCATGGAAACCCAAGAAGAGATGAAGGAGAGTATGTAGAGAGCTGCAGAGCCTGCAGAGAGGAAGCCAGTCTTCTCTAACCGTTAGGTGGCCTACTTTCCAAGCAGGTAGCTGCTCAAATGCTGCATTTATAAAATCTGCATCCCTGTTGGGAATTGTCCATATTGTAGTTTTTGTTAGGGGTTCTATTGCTGCAACAAAACACCATGACCAAAAAGCAAGTTGGAGAGGAAAGGGCTTATTTGGCTTATACTTCTGCATCGCTGTTCATCACCAAAGGAAGTCAGGACAGGAACTCAAACAGGACTGCATCCTGGAGGCAAAAGCTGATGCAGATGAGGAGGTGCTGCTTAGGTCTGGTTTGTTTCCCATGGCTTGCTCAACCTGCTTTTTGTTTGTTTGGTTGGTTGGTTTTTCAAGACAGAGTTCTTTGTGTAGCTCTGGCTGCCCTAGAACTCCCTTTGTAGACCAGACTGACCTCGAACTCACAGAGATCTGCCTGTCTCTGCCTCCCACGTGCTGGGATTAAAGGTGCATGCCACTACTGCCCAGTTTACAGCCAGATCTTATGGAGGCATTTCCTCTCTGATGACTCTAGCTTGTGTCAAGTTGACACACAAAACCAGCCAGTTTACTGTAGAACCCCTGGTTTAGGGCCTGGTCCTATCTCCTCAGCCCTTTGACAGCCAAGAATTCAAGCAGACCAACTGTGTTTCAAGGTAGGGTTAGAAAATAAGAGGTTGGAGTCTAAATTTTTTTCATTATGTGTATGTATATGTATCTCTGTGTGGGTATGGCATATAAGTGTCATATACCTAGATCTTCTAGAGCTAGAGTTACAAGTGGTAATCAGATGATGTAGATACTGGTAACTGTACCCTAGTCCTCTGCAAGAACGGTGCATGTTGTTAACAATGGAGCTTCTCTTTAACTCCAGTTTGAGTCATTTTTTAAAGCTCTCTCCAGAAGTCTGTGACTTCCTCTCTATCTGAGGCTGATTAGCAGAATGTCCATCCTCCTCTGCCTTGACTTCTTCATGCATGTTTGACAGGACATTTGTGTGTGAGACAGAACATGTATTAGAACCACAGGAGTGAGAGCCCCTGACTTCCAAACATTTGCCCAAGGGAAGACCAAGGCTAGCCACATGTCCTTTGGCGGCTGGAGCCCACTTGATGTCAAAGGACTGGGTCATATGGAAGTTCTGGTTTCTGTTTGTAAAGAACTACTGACTCCATAGTAGACTAATTTACACTCCTACCAACATTTCTAGCATTTTTTGTTCTTTTAATTTTGAGTTGTATTTTTTACTAGGATGGTGTATGTGCATCACACACACATCCCACAGTGAGCCTGTGGAAGTCAGAGGACAGCTTTGTGGGGTATGCTCTCTCCTCACTCCTTTATGTGGGTTCCAGGATTTGAACTTAACTTGTGAGTGTGCACAGCAAGTGCATTTACACATGGAACTATCTCATCCGTCCTGTTTACTTTCTTAGCAGTAATTAATCTGACTGAGGTGACATGGAATCCCAATGTCATTTAATTTGTTTCACTTGCAGCTAACCTGTAATTATTGGTTGCTCATAGTTTTTTTTTCTTTCTTTCTTTCTTTTTTTTTTTCTTATTCTGGTTTTTCAAGACAGGGTTTGTCTGTGTAGCTTTGTAGACCAGGCTGGCCTTGAACTCACAGAGACCCGCCTGCCTCTGCCTCCCAAGTGCTGGTATTAAAGGTGTATGTTACAACCTCATGGCTTAGTTTTTCTTTTTAAGAACTATCTGTTCAGGTCATTTGGATGAGTTGGCCCTTCGGTGTCTAATTATTTTTATTTGTATATTCTAGATGAATTCCCTATAAGATGTATAGTTGGCAAAGATTTTCTCCCATTCTACAGGCTGTTTCTTCACTGATTATTGTTTCATTTTCTGTGCTGAAATGTTAAATTTCATACAATCTCATTCATAAATACTTGTAATTATTAAGACTCCTTGCCTGTGACTGCCTCTTCAAGTGTGTCCCCTAAGCTTTCATCATCTTAGGGCTTACTTTAAGATCTTTGATCTATTTTGAACTGATTTTTGTGCAGGGTGATAGATAAAGATTGAGTGTGGTTATCCAGTCTCTCCAGCCTGTTTATTGAAAATACTGGTTTAGTTCTAGTGTGTGTTTTTGGCACCTTTGTCAAAAATCAGGTGGCTAGCCAGATGTGATGGAGCACTCCTTTTATCCCAGCATTCAGGAGGCAGAGGCAGGCAGATCTGTGAATGTGAGACCAGTCTGGTCTACAGAGTGAGTTCCAGAACAGCTGGGGCTACACAGAGAAACCCTGTCTTGAGAGAAAATAAAGAGAATCAGGTGGTGTGTTTTGTGGGCTTCTGCCAGGAACGCAGTATTCCATCAGTCTGTGTCTGGGCAAGTACAGTGCTGCTCTTGTTGCTAAGGCTCTGCAGTGTTATCTGGATATAGCAATTCTGATACCTCTGGCATTTTTTGTTTTTTTTTTTTTCTTCCCTCAGGATTGCTTTGGCTACCCAGGGCCTATTAAGATCATTTTTCCTGTTTCTGCAAAGAATATTATTGGAAATTTTATTGGGATTACATTGAATTTATTTTGTAGCTAATACTTTACTAAAAGTGTTATCAGATCTAAGAGTTTTCTGGCAGTCTTCAGGGTCTTTTTTTTTTTTTTTTTTTGGTTTTTTTTGAGACAGGGTCTTACTATGCATTCCTAGCTGGCTTAGAACTCATTATGTAGACTGGGCTGGCTTTCAAGTCACAGAGATTCACCTGCCTCTGCTTCCCAAGTGCTGAGATTAAAAGTATGCACCATAATGCCTGGCCCAGGATTTTATATATGAGATTATATCAACTACAAAGAAGACAATCTGATTTATTCCTTCCCTATTTGTATCTAGTTTGTTTCTTTTTGAGCATCCAAGTACTATACTGAGTGAGTCCAGAGAGTGTAGATATCTTTGTCTCAATACTGATTTTAGAAAAATTACTTCCTGGTTTTCCCTGCTCAGTATGATGTTGTGTGTAGATTTATCATATATGTAGCCTTTATTTTGTTGAGATATGATCCCTCTGTTCCTGCTTTTTTCATGAAAAGATGTTGAATTTTGTCAAAGGCTTTTTTTTTCATCTATTGAGACGATCATATGATTTCATCCTTGATTCTATTTATTCTTATGCATATGTCTTTTGAGTTTGGTTCGTAAAAATGTACAAGACGTTTCTTTATTCTATTTTGCAGCTGCATAAAAGCTGCGATGTAATTAGCCCTGTTTGCTTTTTGTAGACATTTGTTTTTCTCCAGTCTTTTCCATTTACAAACATGCTGCAGGGAGCAACCTTGATACCTGCGCTGGTTTGTATTGGGCCAGTGCCCCTTGAGGCTTGTAAGGATCACAGTATTTCTGTCCTTTTCCCTAGGCCAAAAGATGCCATTCGAGCACTAAAGAAGCGGCTCAGCGGGAACCGGAACTACAGAGAAGTGATGTTGGCCCTGACGGTGAGCATTGTTTCCTGGGGGGAAAGCTTAGGACACATACACACAGATTTTACTCTTCCTAGGACCTCCCTCCCCCCACTCAAATGGGCTTCCAGCATGTAGCCTGCGTTATCATGGTTCAGCAGCATCTTCCAAGGCACCCTTGGGTCCCCTGCCCACCTCTGATGTAGGAGGTGAGTGTAAATGGGCTTGATGCATACCAGGAGAAGGTAAGATGTGGATGATGTTAGAATAGCCAGAGGCCAAGCCAGGTCTCATTTTCACTATCAGCCTATTTGAGATGCTGGGAGTCAGTTTCCCATTGTATAGATGTTCACCCTTATCTGTCCAGCACCTGCCCGGGATTGAGCTTTTAGAATGTTGATGAGATGTTTACAACCACCTTCTATAACAGGCTTATTACTCTTCTCACAGTTGAGGAGACTGGTCTCTGAGAAGCCTTTGAGTTTTACCTTTGCACCTAGTGAAGCACCAAGCTGTGGTGTGCCTTCATAGAATGGTCTTTTGTTTGGGATAAAAATGAAAATAATAAAAGGGTCTTGAAAAAGTCAGCCTACTAACTCCTTTCAGGGCAAACAGATAAGAATTGTGCCCTTCCTTAGGATACAGAGAACTAAAAAGGGTATTTCAGGTTCTATTTCTGTCTTGAAAGCTAACAATTTCTCAGATGCCTTAAAATCTGGGCCACAGTGACTTTTTATTAGAAACTGTAACAAGTCACCATGTCAACTTCTGTAGGTGGGGAAAGTGGGTTATTTATCCCAAACTGTCATAATTCCTTGTAAAGCAGAAGAGCTGTTGTGATCTCCCCACCCCCCAAAATAGGGTCCAAAACATAATAGGAAAGCTCTTTCAACCAAGGTTAAGGTTTACATACAAAGAAGAAAATGTCAGTTGAGAAATACATGAAAGCTTTAATTTTCTTTTTTTTAAACCTCAATATTGATGGATCCCAGAATGGAGCACAAATCATCATTTTTAGTGACATGCATCACTGGGGAGCCAGCTCTGGCATTTGTCCCACTTTGTAATGGTTTCATGGTAACCATTGTAGGTAGGAATCTTTTTTGTTTTGTTTTGTTTTTGGTTTTTTTAAGACAGGGTTTCACAGGTTTCAAGACAGCTCTGACTGTCCTAGAAATTGTTTTGTAGGCCAGGCTGGTCTCAAACTCACAGAGATCCACCTGTCTCTGCCTCCTAAGTGCCTGGCTGGTGGGAAGCTTATTAAAGTGACTGTTTCCTTGCCTCCCTACACATTGCTTGGCAGCTATCATTTGGCCTTCCTGATGGCCAGATTTTTTCTGTAAACCCCTTGGGAGGAGGCCTGTGGACACGCTGAGCTGTTGGCCTTGTACCTAAGTCCCTGCCTGGCACATTTGGCATGGTTTTATGTTTCCCATGATGGCTTCACTTGTTAGTTGCTGTCAGCCCTGTTCCTTCCTTGTGGCCGTTTCCCACCTGCACATCTGTCCCTTGCCTAGGCTGTTAGTATTTATCCAGTGGAGCTAGAGATCCCAAGGCCCTCTCTGCTTGAGCCTTCAAATGTGTGTTTCCAACATCTGCTTCTCATTGCTTGGAGGCCCCCTTTGTTTATTTCACCGGTTTTGGCTGTATCTCAGAAAGTTGCCAGTGTGTTTCATTCCCGAAAACCCACAAAGTCAGGTTTACCAGGAGCCTTTTTGGAAGGGTAGCCTGAAGTGGCCTTGACAGAGAGGAATTCCTGTGCCTCCTACATATACAGGCTTTGGGCCTCTGCAGGCACGTGTATACAGGGTATTTTCTATTTTCTGAGGCTGGGACAGGACATACTGACCTTAAGGTCTGCTGTAGGGGAGAACTGAAGGACAGAAGAGTGTTCTGTCCATGGTCTCCGTAGAAACAGAACCAGAGCCCAGAGCCTCAGCCTGTCCCTCTGCTTTTCAGTATTTCCACCCAAGCTAGTTTTCTGAGCCTCCCACTCTGCTGATCCTCACTTGCCCCTAAGGAAAGAAGGGCTCAGCAGCCTAGCAGCCATTGCCAGAGTTCAGAGAATCAGTAGAGAATCCTAGAGTAAAAGGTACCTTGCAACATGTCTGGGGACAGAAAGAACATCTCTGGTTCCTCTTGGTTGTCCTTGTGGGTCCCAGAGAGTGAGAGCTTTTACCTCATGGTCACCCAGAATCAAACACAATCAGAGATGAAGCAAGGGAAATTCCCCTTAGCTGAATAAAATTTGTGGTTGCTGGAGAGATGACTCAGCAGTTAAGAGCACTAGCTGTTCTTGGAGAGGACCTGGATTTGGTCCACAGCACCCACATAATGGCTCACAACCATCTGTAACTCCAACCTCAGAGAATACAGTGTCTTTTTCTGATCCCCATGGGCACTGCACATACTTGGTGCACAGACGTACAAGCAGGCAAAACACACGAGATTAAAAATAGATAGCAGTTGTGCAGAATCCCCAAAGATTGTGAGTTTACAACACTGGGTGTACCAATAGAACACGAGTCTCCAGAAATATAGCAAGAAAAAGAAGGAAAGGGTGACTTGGGGGGTTGCAGAGCCACTGGATCTCCTAGGTGCAGTTCCACGACACTGCAGAGCTTCAGCCTTAACATCTCAGAATGGCTTGATGCCTTCTTCCAGAGTTGGCTCAAGGTACAAGGGAGGACAGATAATCCAGAACACAATTCTTGTTTCTGAGGGCCTCACAGCTGGGGTGGCCGCTTGGAAGAGATCTCAAAGGAGGGATGACTTGGTGTCCTCAGGTGAGTCAGGAGGTCAGGGCTGCTGAGAAAGTGAATCATGTTCCTGTCTTGGGGCTGGGGATGTAGCTTTGTGGTAGAGTGCTTGCCTACCATGTACAAGGCACTGTGTTCAATCTCTAGCCTTGAAAAAGAAGGAAAAAAGAGTTTCCATCCTGCCTCTGGGTCAGCTTTTCCTTCCTAAGTCTCTTAACTTTGAAAAATAGATTAAAAGGTGTACTTGAAGAGACCATCATAGCTGTGAGAGTAGAATGATATAATATGGAGAGATTTCACTGTACTCGGTATATAGCTGGCATGAAGTGTATAATTGTGAACCTTTTTGTCTGCACATTGTCAAGGCAAAAGCCTTTGGTAGGAACCACGTAGGGAGCCTAGTGGTTGCCTATCCTGTGCAGGATGCTGAAGCAGTTAAAATATGTCCTCCCTAATCTGCCCATCAAGGGAGAGCTCATTGCTTCCACTTTCCAGATGAGGCCAAAGAGACTGAGTGAAACTTGTGCCGGACCATCAGGAAGGAAGTAGCAAAGCTAAGTCTAACTCCCACTGCCACCTGATCAGACTCTACCAGCCATCCTTTCAAAGCACCTGAGGCCTATGGACCATCCCAGATAAGAGAGGAGTGAGCAGGGTCTCACTGAAGAAGGATGGAACTTAAAACTGACTTGCAGCTGAGGTCTACATTTGTCAAGGGTTGCAATCCATTGTCAATTCTGATTTTATTTGCAGAACGGGTATGTCAGGGATGTATATTTGCTTCCTCACGCACAAGGGCCAGCAATTCGAGCTCTCCCAGCAGCTTCCTCTTATGACAGAGCCTGTGTCTCCTTGGCCTCACACCCAGGCCTAGAGAGAATAATTAAAATGTTAATTTTCAGGAACTTCTCAGTCATAATGCCATTAGAAGACCAGTATCCTTTTCATGCAAAACCCATGTTTCAGTTACCAACTAATTGCCTGAATACTATGCAGGGACAGGAACTTTCAGTCAGCATAAGACTGTCGTTCTCAAGGAACTGGGATGACTGGATTAGTGTGGGCATGTGCGAGGGTTGTCTTAGAGGAGATGTAACAACAGGAAGATGATCTGGAAGCATGACTGAGGGTGAGGAACTCAGCTACCCTACCCCATTCCTGGTGTGGTGACCTCTTCCCCAATCCCCCACAACTTCAGGTGCTGGAGACTTGTGTGAAGAACTGTGGTCACCGCTTTCACCTCCTCGTGGCCAACCGAGACTTCATCGACAGCGTTCTGGTCAAAATTATCTCTCCCAAGAATAACCCTCCCACCATCGTCCAGGACAAAGTGCTTGCTCTAATTCAGGTGAGCTAGCTTCCCTCACCCAGTTTGTTGGGTCTGTAAGATGGAGATTGTGACACATGCTCATGCTTTCCCATTATTTTGGAGGGAAAGATACAGATTGGGGGGTTAAATATTTGTTACAAAATACTTATTTTCTTTTTACTCACCTCACTGGAAATCCTAAACAGTGACTCTCTTGCCAGTTGACAGAGCCTCCAGGAAGCTTCTGGGTGTCCAGCTTTCTGTTGCCCAGACAAGTAGGCAGTAGAGGGGGTTTCAACAGGCTCTGAAATAATTGGATATAATGGAGGTAAGTATAGACTAGGAAGAGCCATGTTAGAGTCATGTACCAGGTGACCGAAGACACAGCAAGAGCCAACTCTGGAGTGAAAATGATGTTAAGGGATGTTTCACTGAAGAGGTGACATTTCTGTTGAACCCTGAAAAGTGAGAGGGGGGCTGGGAGTTTGATGGATAGGAAGCATCTCAGGAAGGACATAGCTGTACAAAGGCCCAGAAGCATCAGAAAACAGTTATCCATACTTGTGATATATACCCATTATATACTCTGTAACATATCAGCCCAAGAATAGCAGCTTATGGCAAGAATGTTACCTTTTCTCTGGTTTCTGTAGAGCAGACATTCAGGCGCAGTCTGATTGGGAGATTATAAATGTACCCTCCAAAGGCATTACTGGAACTGAGCATTCCATTTCCAAGATGGTGCCCCGACATGGCTGGTGGTGGGAAGCTTTAGTTTCTTGAGGATGTGACAAGAGACCTGTGTTTCCCAACACAAAGAAGTCACACATCACATTTTCTGTCATTCTGTTTGTTGGAAAGGAGTCACCAGATTAAGCTTCAAGAATTGTGGAATTGAGGGATGAGGTGAATATGTGAGCGTATTTTGAGTATTGTCTTTGAAGAGCAGGGTGTAGTTTAGAATGTCCATGGCTGTGCTTAAGGGGGGTAGATAGACAGGAAGTGAGGGCAAAGGATGGGTAAGGCTTGTGGGTTTTGTGTACTGAGGGCTTTGGGTTTGGTCCCTAGAGGTAATAGGGGAGCCATTGAAAGTTTCTGTTCTGAGTCATACACAGATTTTAGACAAAGCACCCTACTGGCATGGCATCTGAATCCATAAGTGTATCCAATATGGATGACTATGCATGCCTGCAAGAGCCAGGAGGAGAGGGAGACCAAGTCAGAATGGGAGCATGACTCCAGCAGGGGCAGTGGCACATAGCCTAGCTTAAAGGTCTGACAGACAAGCACAGAGTAGCCAGGACATGGGCTCTGGGGCTGTAGGGTCATTGTATATGAGGCTGGAGAGGTTGTGTCTCTGTCTAGAGAGTTTTCCCATCTCCTAGAGCACTGGCTCCTCCTAGTTGTTCAGCTGTGCCCTGGCTCCCGGCTCCCATCCTGAAGCTCACGTCTGCTCTCTTGCTCATGTCCTCTTGTGATCTTCAAGTGCAGCTTGTTATCTTTTCTGTTCCACTCCGTTGGTTCCTTAAGAGCCCTGGAATTCTGTGTCCCAAGAGTCTAGACCAGTTGTTAGTCAGTATTGAGTAGTTTGGGTTTTTTGTTTTTGTTTTTGTTTTGTTTTTTAGATTAGTGGCTAAATGTACCTCACTGAGGCTGAGAGAAAGGGCAGTGGTCTGGGTGACAGAGTCACCTCTCATACTTCCTTGAGAGTGGCCTCTGTGCTGTTGTTCTGCATCTCCTCCCTCAGACCTGCAGTATAGTCCCCAGTTCCACGTCCACTCCCATGGCCTCTCCCGGAACTAGAGTCTTCCAGAGAAATAAGGGGTAACTTTTTCTTACAAAAGACAGGATACCCCAGCTTAAACTCTTTACTTGAGGTCCGGTCTGTACAAAGTCCACACTGGCTACAGAACTGGACGGAGACATGTTCAGTGAGAGCTTGCTCATCCTGAGGCCTGGCCAGGCTCCAGTGTAAACACAGCTAACTTTGTGTGATCTGCTGGGGGCAGCCAGAGCCTGCTTCCCTGGCTGGTCCCACAGTTCTCTGCCCCCAGGGATGCCTTGCAGCTTTCCCATTAGGTCACTACTTCTCTAACTCCAGTTCGTACTACTGCATTATTTCTAACCTTGGGCTGGTGCAAAAGCTGCTGGGCATCCACCTTCCCTATAAAACAGAGGCTGGGTTTCTGCCTTCCTGCTCTTGGACATGTAGCACAGGGGCACACTAACCTAAGGTCCAATGGTGCGAGTATGGAATAGTTTGTTAACCTTCCTAAGGTACATGGCCGCTCTATGTTTGGAGTTGCTGCCATGAGCCTGCAGTGTATGTCTTTGGGGAGCATATGCGTTTGTTTTTTTAGGTATATAATGAGTATGCAGCTCTGGCAATTTCACTTCAAGTCGTGACAGAAAGTTCTGGGTCAGGAGGTACCAGGACTTCTAGCTGTTTCACACCTCACCATCGCAGCCTATCTAATGAGCCTGGGAAAGTATTTTACCATGTCATCTTTAACCACTTGGAAAAAGATCATCTTATATGTCTGTTGACTATATAGATGACTCCCATGTTCATGGTTAACTGATCTCAGCCAGCCTTCATTGGAAGAAAAAAATAGCTTCTGTACTATACCAAGCATGCACAGGTCTTTCTCTTGTCATTATTCCTTAAGCTATCCCCATAACATTGACACTTTATTGGTGGTATGAATAAACCCCTAATTAAAAGTCTAGAGATTATTTAAAACATGCAAGAGTATATGCATATGCTGTGTACAAACACTGAGCTAGCTCATACAGAGACCAGTATATCCAAAGCCTTTGATATCCTAACAGATCCTGGAACCAATCCCTTGTAGATACTAGGAACAATTAACTATCCTTTTAAAAACTGGACAGCAAGCCAAGTGTTGTACACACCTGTAATCTCAGCTGGAAGGTGGAATTGAGAGGATAAGGCTTTCAGGATCAGCCTTGGCTACATAGTGTGTTTGAGGTTAGCTGAGCTCTACATGAAACCCTGTGTCAAAACAGTAACAACAGTAAAACTGAACCAGCTTCCCAGACAATGATAAGTCCCTCTGGGGGAGAATGTGTTGCTCTCAACATTTACGAATGTAAGGTTGGGTGTGTAGCTAATTGGTCGAGCACTTCCTAGCACACATTAGGCTGTGGGTTCTATTTCTCCCTGAAATAAATGGGATAGTTCCAGGCATGGTAGCACATGTCTTTAATCCTATCACCCAGGAGGCAGAGGCAGGCAGATCTCTATATGTTTGAGACCAACCTAGTCTACATAGAGTTTCAGGATAGTCAGTGCTGCATAGTGGCACCCTGTCTCAGAAAAAGAAAAATAATAGAATAGAGAGGTGACAGTCACTGTTTTTCTTGACAACTAAGAGTAGGCAGTGGGTTGAAAGGTGCATCCTACTGGACTGGAAAGTGGTGCTTCTAATAGCACAGGTGGCCAGTACAATCCAAACCCTTCCTTAATGCTCGCTAGAGCCCATGTGCTTGGGAAGTGGGCCAGGCTAGTCCTGGCCATGTCTTCAGGGAGACAGCAAGTTAGAGAGACTGAGGTTTGCAGTCAGCTGGAGCCAAGGCCTAGCTAGGAATGACTTGAGCTGGCCTTTGAATATTGGGAATAATGGAGTGGGCCTAACTAACCCTAAGTATTCCATTCCAGAAAATCCCACGGAATTAAAAGCTCTGAAGTAAAGAGAGATACAGATAAGCTCTACCAGTTTTCTGCCTATGAAGCATGCTTCAGGCTGGGGGAGAGGCACAACAACACAGGGACACACCTATGGGTCCATTCTCAGCTGCCAGCCTGAACTAGCTGCCTCTTATTTACCTCAAAGACTGAAGCACAGTACAGCTATACCGCGTACGGGGGTGGGGTGGGGGTGGGGTTCAGAAGTCTCTCGAGCCTATAGTGGAGTAGGTGAGAGAACTTGTTCTCTTATGTCCATCTGCCCCAGCGTACCATCTCCCAACCTTGCACTGGACTCACAGGCATGGTTGGCCTAGAATTGGCTATAGAAATGGCATTTCCAATAGCCTATGTTTGCTATCAGCAGCCCCCTGGGCCAACTGAGAACAAAATCCACTAGTTTGGTGCAGCTTAGTGTAGAGCACTTGCTTGGCATCCTGGGGTCCATCTCTGAAAGACGCACACATGTGCATGTGTGCTCCAGTTGATGCCTTTCTCCTGTACCCCATTCTGTCTCCTGTCCTATGTGAGAGTTAAAGTTATGCTTTAAGTTTAAGTGACTGGGCTTAAGAGAGCTAGTAAACAAAATGCCTCTAACCTGTAAGCCCCACGTGCCCAAGGACAGATAACTTCCTGGAATGTTGGGGGCTGTTGTTCATGTAAGATAACAGCCATGTGTTTTTGCTTCTATAAACAAGCATGGTTGCCCCAACTGCACAGGATGTGTTTGACCCCATGCAGGTGGGAGATGCGTAGATGGAAGTGTGTCAGGGTGTGTGCTTGCCCCCATTGGGTGAAGACAGGAAGTACATAGCCTTGTGGCGTTTGCCTTCGTAAGCCCCCAACTAACATACTTCTCGGCCATTCTCTGGGAATCCCGGGTATGGACCGGTCTAGTGTCCATCATCTTGGCCAGTAATTAAATAATGCTTGCGTCAAATTTGGCTCAAAATTGTGGTGGTGGTCATTGTATTCTCACCCAGTGGAATTAACATTTATTGACCTCTAGCCATTCATAGACACTCCATATTCTAGTTCGCTTTCTGTTGTTATGATGAAACACTAATCTAGGGAGGGAAGGGTTCATCTGACTTGCACGTCCATGTCACTGTCACTCACCTGAGAGAAGTCAGGGCAGGAACTGAAACAGAAACCCTCCCTCAGGCCATGGTCTCTGGATGTCTGAGGACACCCAAGCAAGACCATCTTCCATGTTCCCATGATCCTTGTGTGAACCGTAGGTGGGCAGCATGATTTTTGGCTTATCTACCTAACCCAGGTCTGGGGGCTTGATGTACTCCCTTCACCAGAAGCATCTGCCCCTCCGGATGGGGTGAGGAAAGACACATGGAGAGCAGGAAAGCCTGTTAGCAGCTTGCCAATGCTCCTGCCCTGCACCTTACCACGGTAGACTCTACCGCCCCAACCTTCTCTCCACTGGCTTAGCTGTTCTTAATACTCACCTTCCTTTCTCTAAGTCCCACCTATTGAGAAGACCGAAAGACTGCCCCCACCTGTGCCACCCCTTAGGCTCCCTAATACTATTGTGAGGGACAGATATGAGGTTATCCTGATACAATATCCTCAAGCTGCTCATGTTTGCCCCTCTCCATATGCCAACACTGAACTCTAAACACCCTCCCTTTCTCCCTTCCTTCTTGTTTGTGTTTGTTTGTTTGTTGTTTTGTTTTGAAACAAGGTTTCTCTGTGTAGCCCTGACTGTCTCAGAACTCTGTAGACCAGACTGGCCTTGAACTCAGAGATCTACCTGCCTGTGCCTCCCAAGTGTACAGATTAAAAGCCCTCTTTTTACTGAAGAAGGTTGGGATGGAGAGGGAGTCTGGAAAGATCTGAGAGATTGTGCTCTTTGACAGTGTCAGATGCCTGGTGGCACCTGTGACGTCACTGAGAAGCATGTGACCACACTGCTTCAGATGAAGGCCTCTGGCAATTTCCTGGGTACTTTTCCTCTGAGAACAGAAAGCCTATGCTGGAGGCCTGAGCAGAAGAGGACAGAGCCTCCTTTTGCCCAGACGTATCCCAGGCCCCATAGTTCAAATCAGTGCTTATCCCTTGCTCTGAAAGTTGCTGCTTGAAACCTTGGACAGAAAGTAGTGAGGTTGTGTCTACAGTTTGGCACACAGAGTTAAAGAACAAATTGACCTTTGTCTTCCTGTTAGTCCCCTTTTTGCCTCTTTCAGACTCCAAATTCTGAATCCACAGACAGGAAAAGAGGAAATTACGTAAAGATCTTGGCTTCTAGTGAAGTGGCCACCATGTCGTTGGCTAAACAGCACTGGTGACAGAGAACCTGAGAGAATGCCAGAGTTACTACTCCTAGGACCCTGCTTCCTGATAAGGGGGTCTCGTGGAAATTATCCTGCCTCTGTCCTCTCTGCTGACTCTGCATCTCAGTTCAGGGGTTCGGGGTGACCAAGACCTCCCAAAGCTATCCTCAGCTCTCCTAAGGAGGATTCTTGGCTCAGCCTGCAGCAGGGTCCTACTTTATCATGGTCATGTTAGTCTGCTGACAGCCTCCATGACCATCTCTCCTCTGTTCTCCCAAGTAGGAAATAAGGATGCTTAGTAACTGTGAGAACTCAACTAAATTTAGCCTGACAGCTGTTGACCTAGTACCTTCTCTCTACAAGGGCAAAACACCCATGTGTACCTTTAAAGATGCTTGACCTGGTCAGGGAGATGAGAGAAGTTACTCAAGCATGTCTCTAGAAGATTCTGGAACATATAACAGCTATAATTTCTTCCATCTCCATGTCCTCACAGATAACTGTTCCTTTAAAATGTGTCCCTTCTCCTCCTCCCTGTTTACCCTCTGTTGGCATCAGACTCTCATTCAGGGGAGATCACTGTTGTAAGCATATGCTTTGTTTTCAGCAGTCTGGCCCAGGCTGCCTAGGGGTCCTAGACAGGAGCTGGCACTGTGCAGGTGAGGATAGGTTTATTAACCAAGACTTCCTGTCTACAAATTAATGCCAACTCTGCTGTCCTCACTACCAAGGAGAGTTTGTCTTGACAAAGCAGGTCATCCCAGAAGCCCAGGTCACCCTGGCCAGGGTGTGACTGAACCTGGGAAGTGACAGAAAGGGTCAGGAAACCTTCACATCTTCTCTCTGCACACCACCAGCATAGCAACTGTATAACCTTCCAGAATAAAACTATCTTTGTCCCCGGTCCCAGCCACCTATCAGGCTTATATTTTTAGAGGGCAATTTTCTTACACGAAGAGAAGGACCCAGCTCCCTGTTGTGTCCAGGGCTGAACTCTTGGAAAAAGGAGAACCTGATGGTCCCAATTTAGGATATGCCCCAGTCACCTAGAGCAGACACAGCTCCTGAGTGTGTCTGAATCAGGGTAGGAGTTCTGAAGAGTGTCTCTCTAGAGAGACAGCATAGTTCTGTAACCTTTTTCCTCATCATCTCAAACTCGGGTATGGGTTGGAGCAAGGAAAGATCAAAGAGGTCCCCAGAGCCATTTGTTTCTCTGTGAAAACAGAGGCAGGAAGTGGCATCAAAAAAGGTACCAACTTCTCCCAGTGGGCTGAGTATAGTTTTAGACTCCTTAAGTTTCTTTATGTATTTATTTCTATTTTTATTTTTATTTTTGCTTTTTTGAGACAGGGTTTCTCTGTGTAGGCCATTCTAGAACTTGCTCTGTAGACCAGGCTGGGCTCAAACTCAGAGATCCACCTGCCTCTGCCTCCCAAGTACTGGATTACAGGTATGTACCCCCAAAGTTTATTTATTTTTATTATTCCTTTTTATAGGGCTGGGCATAGAACCTGGGGCTGATGCGCACTAGGCAAGTGCTGTACCACCAGCCCCAGACTCTCAGCTTTGCTCTCTAAACTGAAAGCCTAGAATCACAAGACTCAGCTGGGTTTTGTTAGGGGGAACAAGAGCAGCTGGTGGGAGTGGACTTCATGACGCTAGAGGGCTAGGACAGTCCAAGGCAGTGAGACTGCGTGGCTCTCGCTGACAGCCTCTGTAGGCACCTTCAGATGCAGAAGAAAGGATTGGCAGAGATAGGCTGTCCTGGTGCCATGGTGATGGAAAGTCCGTGAGTATGCATATTAAATAAAGGCATCAAGGAGAGAATGCCAGGCTGACAGTGTCGTTGGTAGAGTGTGAGATGCATTGGATGCAATGGAGGAAGCTTCTTCTCCTTTGGGTACAGGTGTGTAGAAAAGGGGTGGGTGGCACTGAGAACCCTGTTTCTAAAGAGCCTGTCACATAATTTCTGGGTTTAATTCTTCAGTAACTTCCAGAGAACAGGCTTTTTTTTTAATTATTAAGAAGTTCATACATCACCAGAAATGGTAACCCGTTCACAATTGTTCCTTTTTGTACTCTTTTCGTTCAAAAGAATCTGCCAGTGGTAATTTCCATTTCATTTCTGTGTGTGAGCAGATGTGTGTTGAAACTGTCAGCTGCACAACTTAATAGAAAACACCAGATTGATACAGGACTCCTGGAAGATAGGGTAGCCCCAGCCATAGTCTGACTCCTGATGGACTCTTGAACCCCTGGGCTGAAATCATCTCACCTGTTAGTGACAGGCCTGGGCTGGGAAAGTTTTAGCACTAAGTGGTCTGCTGAGGAAAACTGGATTCAGCCCTGATTTCTCATCACACATCAATTTTTCCTTTTCTTCTTGTTCAGTGTGTTAGGCATTGAAAACTGACTCTTTCCACTTCCTTCAGTTCAAGAGCTCTGTCAATTGATTTCATTGAGATGAGACAAATACTTGCATCATAGAGTACGCAAGGTACTTAGGTGTTATTTCTCTTCTGCTTCTCTAAGAAAGTACATGCCAAATTAAGTTTTATGTGTTTGTTCACATTCAGTGGCGCCATTGAAAGCCAGGGCTTCAACAGCTGTGCTGCAGCAATGATTGCAGGAGAGGAGCAGAATAGGATTTACCAGTGTGCCTTGCGTGGGCACGTAGGACAGCACTAGCCTCAGAGAGGGTTGGGCTGACTTTCCAGCGCCTTGCCACCCCATGGAAGGACCACTTCCACTTCCTGACAGGTCTTCCTCTCTCCTCCCAGGCGTGGGCAGATGCCTTTAGGAGCAGTCCTGACCTCACTGGCGTTGTACACATATATGAAGAACTGAAGAGAAAGGGAGTCGAATTTCCCATGGCAGACTTGGATGCTTTGTCTCCTATCCACACACCCCAGCGGGTAAGCTTCCAGCTAGTATTTTCTAGAAAGACTGCCTGCAGAACAGCCAAGCACTGTACCAGCCTTTTGCTGATGCTTTGCATTATTCAGCTTGTCATGTGTTCTTAAAGCTCCAGGGCATTTCTTTTTCATAACGAGGGGGATGCAGATGGAGACAGCTGGGTGACTGGTGATTAAGTGGCAGCAGTGTCTCTCCCACTTTCACGCTGACAATGGAGGAATATGATAGAGGGTTCAGTTCAGTGGTTTTCATGGAAATGGCTGCTTTGGCCGAGCCATCCTGTAAGGGTCATTAGCACCTGCCTTACAGAAGACTGCAGAACATGTGTGAGAATCTGTCCTTATATCCTGTAGTGTTGAGGGTTGATGTCTACAGCAGAGGCATAGTACAGTCTATATATCAAGTGGATCATTTCTTTGCTTTTTGAATGGTGTCTGAGATAGAACCCAGGGCCTCATGCATGCTAAGAACACATTCCAGCCCAATCATAAGGATCTAGAAATGTATTTTAAGCCATGGTGTTGGCATCAGTCCAAGCATTCTTGAATTCTGTTAGCTTTGGTACTCAAAACCCAGAAAAGGCCTGTGTTAAAGCACCCTGAAGAACCTCTTTCAGTGTCTCAGGATTAAATGATACTGGCAGTACCAATCCTGGTCCCTCTGGGAAGTTAGCTCCTGTACTGGTTACGAGGCAGCTCCCACCCCAGGGGGACAGAGGCAGGCTAGCCCAGTCTGAAGAGGCACCAGGGACAGGTCACATGGCCTTACTGCTCTCCATCTACCTATCCTCACATGGTGACCTCAGGAATGGCAGTGTGTGTTACACATTGGTGTAAATACGTGCTAATGTTGGTGAGGATATCTGAGATACCTAAGTGGGTAGAGGGCATCAAGAACTACATTTCCCAAAGCATTGTTCTTGTTATGATCCCTCTAAACTGATTACTATGTTTGTTGTATAAACATGACCTGTTTTGTTCTTCCATTAATGGCACAGAAGGAACAGTGTTGTTGTACAAGAACATTCAGTAAATGGCACGATTGCTGTTTATATTAGTCTCCTTGTAAAGGCCACAGTGTAGTCTTGTGGTATCAAGTAAGGATTCATGACTAGCAAACTTAGCAAGTACTCCGATGCGGAGGTGGCTTTAATGACAGCCGGTGCCTGGAGAGCTCCCAGAGTGCTTTCCATGGGGCCTTTTGGGTTACGTGGCTTGTCTGCAGCACATCCTCTGGCAGGGGCAGAGAACAGAAAGAAGCAGGAGGGAGGAGAGAAAGAGACAGTGGTGGCCATGCTGACCTGATGGAGAGACTGACTGAGGTTCTGTGGATTCCAGCTGAAAGCACCACCTGTTTTTGGGGCAGTATCAGGCTAAGCCACTTAGGCACCCAAGTGAACCAAAAAATACTGTTGTTGTCATGCCAGAGTGTCCCAGAAATGGATCCAGCTGCCACCATGCCCAGGTCCCAGTCGCAGCCCAGGACAAGTGCCGGCACCCATTCCTCACCTCCTCCAGCTTCCTACTCCGCTCTGCAGGCCCCGGCTCTGAGTGTGACTGGCCCCATCACAGCCAATTCAGAACAGGTATTTGTGTGCTTCCAGGCCATAAGCGAGCCAGTCAACTGCCCTATACTTCCAAGTGCTGTGCTAGGTGTGGGGACACAAAGATGGAAGGGCTTGGTCTCTGGAGTAGACAGGTTGGAGGTCATTGCAGTAGTATGTGGTCTTGCTGAGCAGTGAGCCAGGGTTGAGCAGAGCGTAGAAGACAGCTGGGATCTGTGGCACTGAGGGCTCGGGTATGGGCCTAGGGTTTTGTCAGCCGAAGCCTGTGCAGACAATGTCATCATTGATGAGGATATCATTGACATATGCAGCACAGAGGAGTGGCATACCAGGGAACACTCAGTGGCCCTCTGCAGAGTAGGTTAGCGTGTAGGTTGGGCAGGAAGACAGAAAACAGGTTCCAAAGCAAAGGAGCACAACTGATCCGTGAATAGACACTGACCACCCACGGAAGTGAGCATGGGTCCATGAGATGTGCCAGCCAGCACAGCTCATACTCAATCAGTGAGGTCCCTGAAGGCAGCAGCTAGATAGGGAAGTCTTCCAGAAGCCTCTTCCTGTCTCAATCCAGACACTGCCTGTCTGAGGATTACTTCCTGATAAACTAGTGTAATTTTACTAAACCTTATTTTTAGAGAAATTATGGAGACTATTTTTAGTTGAATTTACAGAATTTCTAATAGTTAAAATTTTAGAATGGATGAGATTTGGAAAAAAATTACTCAGTCTTTGTAGTTCTCATTTGTTACAGTGCCATACCGTGGAACCTTGTTAAAATGGGGAGGGAGGGGGGTTCGGGCAATTGCTTATAAAACAGCAGTGTTGTGCTAGGGCTCTGCCCTTCTGCCATTGCTAAGGAGAGAGAGCATGTGGTGCAAGCAGGATGCAAGCAAGGAGTCACATAGGCCTGGGTGTGAACCACATTCTGCTGCTCCGTGTAAGGCTTCAGTAGAATGGCGAGCTTCAGTGTGAACAGGCAGCCAGGCCCTGACTGTAGTCCACAGAAGGAAGATGGTCCCACGTGGCCACCAAATCCTGGGACCTCATCTGATCCTGCTGCTGAAATGTGGAATCAGTGCTCTCAGTGGAATTCGAGTCACTGAATGCTGCCCCTCTTCACCCCCAGACCCAGAGCCTTTATAAAGGGAGCTGTGAACAGAAAGTCTTGGCTCTAGGCCCTGCTTCCTTGGGCAGAGCTCCAGAATTTCTCTGAGAGGAAGCAAAAAGTATTTCAAACTGGATGGTACTGGAGCCCTGGCATTGGTCACTGCAGTATAATGGGTGCCAAGGAAGGGCCCTTCAGCAGCTGGAATAGCCAAGAGGAGGTCCTGAGTGGGGAGAAGCCGGAACCCTGAGAACTGTGGCTCCTGCCCCAGGAGCAAAATGGAAGCTAAAGCAGGTAGTCCATTGTCCAGCCTGACCTGCTTCAGAGCCCATCAGTGGTAGAAACTCCTTAACCAAGATGTTGAGGAGGTACTGGGTCCACCTCCTCCCACCCCCACCCATGCCCACAAGTGAGTCAGAGGCTGGCAAGGGTTTTATGGAGCCTGAACCATCTCCCAGGTGATTGTTGAGAATCCTGCAGCACAGGAGAGGCTGGGAGAGACTTGTAGTAGATGTTTGTGCTCAGGCAAGCCAGGGAAAAGTGGAAAGGCCTTTCTAGGAGAGGGAGGCGTGGTTCTGGAATAGGTCTCCTGTAGGAAAAATACCCACTCCATCCAGCTCTGGGATCCCACGGGAGCAGGCCATGTCTGTGGCCAGCTGTATGCATTAAACCAGGTGTACAAGACACAAGGCAGGCCACACAGCATCCTGTGATGTGTGGGGTTATCACCCCCTTCCCATGGGTGAGGGGATAGGCTTGGAAAGGGCTGATGCATCTCTGGACATTGGTGCTGCTCTAGCACCCGCTCCTCACTGAGTCTTCTAGGGCTCTGCACATATCTCAAGGCAGGTTGTAATTTTATCAGGTGTGCATTGGTCTCCTGCCAGAAAATGATGCATTCCTATACAACTTTTACAAGCCTCACTGTGGGCAAAAAGATCCCTGTGGTTTCCACTAATGTCTTAAAAGACTTTGAGATCCCTGGAGGTAACCAAAAGCTCAGGCAGGACTGGAGGACGAAGGGAGTCAATGAACAGTACGCCAAGTGCAGGAGAGAAGGCTCAGGCTTTGTCAAAGCTGGGCAGGGTGCTTTTAGGAGTTGGCTCCCACTCCTCTACTCTTTTCTTATCAGAAGAATTCTGTGAGCACTGGCCAGTCTCCCTTAGGGTATGACACTGACAGGGACAGAGTCTGTGAGCATGAGGGTCATGTAGATTAGGAACTCCACCCTAAAGGGATCTTGGAGCACCTGCACCACTATACACTGTTTTAGAGAAGAAATAGAAACCTAGTTAGGTTAAAGGCCCGTTCTAGGGTCCTGTGGAGGGAGAGCTGAGAGCACAGCTCCCTCCTGCCCAGTGGTATTCCCTGCACATTGTTAGTCGTGTGCTGTCATGGACAGGGAGGTGACCATGATTGTTGGTGACCAGGGCTCTAGTGAGCTGGCTGCCCCATGCAGTTCTCGCCAGCCCTCGACGGGCAGAGCAGGGAGATAAGAAGGCTGCTCCTGGGGCACATGTTTGTGTTGATCAGTGTGATCTCACAGTGGACAGGATTGTCTCCAGCCGTGAGCTGGCTGGTTCTGATCCTGTGACTGATCTACCTTCTCCCTGCCTTCTCCTTGACCTGCAGATTGCTAGGCTGCGCAGTGAGTTGGACGTTGTTCGGGGAAACACAAAAGTCATGTCTGAGATGTTAACAGAAATGGTCCCCGGGCAGGAGGATTCTTCTGATTTGGAACTTCTCCAGGTGAGAATAAGTTTAACTTAGAAGCGTGGGCTGAGTACCTGGCAGTGCCCTGGTAGGACCATACTTGGGCACACAAATGTGTTGACAAATCTCGTGGCACCATGGTGGAGAGGGTCTAAGTCCGTGTTGGTTCATGCTCACCTTTACTTTTTGGAGATAAGCATAGGCCAGTATCACTCTCTGTATTTTAAATTTTTACTTGAATAACTTTTTCCTGACTATAAAGTACCAGTTGTAGAGTATGTACCTATCAAAGTATATAAATAAATAAATAAATAAATTTCCTTAGCTTTTAGCCATCTGTAATAAGTAGAGTTTACATTTTGATGTGTTTTCATTTAGGCTCTTGGTTGTGTTCATTTATTTTTACATTTAGTTGGAATCATGCTGTGTATATAGTCTTGTGTGTGTCTTTGCTTCATTGTTATTGTGTCATAAACACCATGGAATAAGAGTCCTTGGGCCTTGATGGCATAGAGAAACCCTGCTAGGCTCTCATCCTAAAGTAGGAGATTCTGAGGAAAATTTGGAGCTCCTGTGCTCAGCCTCACTGCTGGGACCACTCAGGCTGGAAGTGAACACTGTGGTTCCTGAGAAGCTGCTGTCCTGACCCCCCTGCCTCTGCCTCTAGACACTGTAGATGGTGATGCTGGAGATGAGACCTAGGGCCTGCATAATAGGCAAGTTACTCTCCGCCTGAGCCACGCCTCCTGCCCATCCTACACATCTCGACCGCTGCAGGAAAAGGAGATAGGAGCAAGCCAGGCTGAAGTCTTGTCCTTCAATTAGTTGAGAGCCTTCGAGGCTCAGAGCCAGGGCAGACTCTGCCACATGCGCCTGCAGTGACCCCTGTGTAGAGAGTGGCGGCAGCACTGCGCTTAGGGAGGGGTAGAGAAAGGATGCTGTGAACTGCAAGTACCAGATGAATGAGTGGACAGACCAGGAGTCGTACTGGCTTGATGACCTGGCCTGAGTGCATCATGATACCCCTGCTACTACTCTTGCTGTTTCTGTCTGGCAGTCTTGTCTACCTGACTGCTACGTCTCCCACTTTGCAGTATGTACACCCTGGCCACCTGGGAAAGTAGGCTCTGATGGAGTCTCCCAGCTAAGTACAGGAGACAGATAAGGAAACTGCTCTCCTCCAAGGGACCTGGACATCAGGTTGCTCTTGAAGCTGAGATGAGTACCTTTAGCCTAGCCCAGTGTGAGCACTGAACACCCCCTCTCTGGTTTCCAGACTTCCTTCTGATACCTGCAGCAAACCAGGCTCCTGGTTCATCAGGTAGTAGCTGTGTGTTACACTCCATGGACCTCGCTCCCTCTAATACACCACACTGGCCTCTACCCTAGCCTATAGGAGTGCTCTGCTAGGTGTCCTGTGGTACACAAGAATCTGAGGCCCGTCCAGGATGATGTGGTGATGCTATGCTGGATCAGTGTTGGAATTCCTTCTGTGGGGTGGGGCTGTTGCTCCGGACAGAACTGAGCTCCTGACAGTAGGAGGTGGAGGTGGTTTGGACAACACCAAGATGGTTCCAGACAGCCAGAACACAACAGACAGCAGTGTGTGTGTGTGTGTGTGTGTGTGTGTGTGTGTGTGTGTGTGTGTGTGTGTGTGTGTGTGTGTGTGTGTGTGTGTGTGTGTGTGTGTGTGGTTGTAGGGTATTTTGTTTGTTTGTTTAAACAAGCCCATCAGCCAAGAATAACAGAACCTAGTCTCCTGGCATCAGCTCAGTTTTCAAAAATAGGTTGCTTCCAATGACATTTTCCTTCATTCTGTTTTGTTCCAACTCAGAGCCTACTGGCCCCCACTGCTGTCATCTAAATCAAACAGAAAAAGACCGTGTCTGGGTGCCTGCGGGAGGCTGTCATTTCAGTGTGGAAGAGGCAGGAATGGGTAGCTGTGTGAACAGACTCACTTTTACTGGCTGGAGGCCACTGCCTTATGTCCCCCTTCTTCTGCCCCAGCGATCAACAACCAGCAGGCAGTGGCTCCCACAGAAGAGCGAGCCATCCATATGGGAAAATGCCACTGTCCTCTTGGAATATGGTGGGGTCAGAATCTGTCCCCGAAATTTCTTGGGGAAGATGGAAGCCAGCCAGAATGCTCTGGGCAGAAGTAGACCAGAGCTCAGAATGCTGGCCAGGGCCCCGGAAATAAGCGTATTTGTCACCAGTCCAAATGATCGCACCAACAGACACAAGCTGCTCTTGACATGAGTGTAAGGTGATGACTAGAAGGTGTAGAGAGTGAGCAGAGGTAACTGAAGGTCCAGCCCCAGATGCACCTGTGGCTGGTGGCACTTTTGGGCAGTTGCTTCCTGCTTATGACCAAATTCTTCCAGGCTTGTCATCCTACAACGCATGAGAGCAACAGGGAAACTTGTGAACTGCTTGTCTGAGGATTCCTGGGAAAATGACTGTCTTTGAGGAAAGGCCAAGAGACCAGTAACACATAGTGCTGTCAGCTTTGCTGGAGACCCCACAGAGGAAAAATGCTGGGAGGGGACTCTGAGCACCTCCCAGGGTGGGTGTCAGATCCTCCCCTTTCTAAGTTGAGCAACATCTTCTAGACAGCTAGTCCAACCCAGCACCTGTGCCCAGATTTCCTCCAGTCTTGGATCCCTTTTTCTTCACATCCCAGTGACAAGCTGTTCTGGCTGTCATGAAAGCACTGTTCATTTCTAACAGGCATCGAAGTTGGCCTCTGTGCACAGCAGGGCAGAGTATACAACTTAACAAATGACTGCATGCATTCTGGGAGACTCCAGGTGAGGCACAGACCCTTTCTAGGCCTGTGTCTCCTTCCCTGATGCCTGGAGTGATTGCTTTCACTGTGAAAGTGACTGTCACGGGGCATGTCCTCTCTCTGTAAGTCATAGCTTCTGTAATCGTTGTTGAAAAGCCGTTCTACACATTGAACTCAGATCTGTTTCCTGTAGCTTTAAGTCGGTCTGTGTTAGATAAAAGCACAGAGAAAATTCCTTTCCCACATGGGTAGAGCCTTAAGTATCCAAGGATTGTTGTAAAGCCTACGCACTGTCCAAGGTTCATGCTGTTGACACACCACTTGTATAGGAGCAGGCAGCCTACCACAGGAAGCAGCTGTTGTTACCTGTTGTCTGTCATCCTGCACCCTGGCTGGCCTGGAATGCTCTATGTAGACTAAGCTGGCCTCAAACCCACAGACATGCCTGATTTTGCCTCCTGAGTACTCGTACTAAAAGTGGGTGTCACCACCTGCATGCTGTGCCATCTTCATTCCACATATACAAACTGTCATTACCCCCACCTAAAGTACATGCCCTTAGCGGAAACTGTGTACATTTTACTGGGATCTAATCGAGCCTTTGAAGCTGGCTCCAGTCAATGATAACTTATGCAGTGATGGATATTATATAGGTCTTTATCAGATGAAGGAGAATCCCTTCTCTTTGCTGTTGGTTTAAGTAGCTTGTGGCCATACCCATTTGCTTTTTGCATCTCGTTTCAACAAAGAGTGGCCAAGATATTTTTCTCTGGAAAAAAATATAGCGTACTCCAAACGTTTAGCTTCACACTCTCCTTTTCTCTTTGGTGGACCTTCCCTCCTTCCCCTCTCCTTTGCTGCTGCAACAGGATACGTGTTCAGCACTGAATTCTCTGCTTCTTCGGCTTGAAGAAGGTTTAGAGGATAAAAAGATTGTTTTATGAGGTAGGGATGAAACTGTCTCTTGAAGGGAAGATAACAACATCAGGGTTAACTAGGCAGAGAAGAGGATATTTGATACAGTGTTCTGACTGACGGCAGGCATTTGCAGAAGTGACTGGCTGCTGAGAACCAGAGATAGGAAGATACCAAAGCAGAAGTCCTTGGCATTGAAGGAATTCCTGGTCCAGGGTCTGCAGAGTACAAAGGGAGGCTTGCTCAAGCTGCTGGCTTAAGGGCTGCTGGCCCAGAGGAGAATCAGCCATTCCTCTGCATGGTTTGGAATGGAGGGGGCCTGACGTAGTCCCACGGAACCTGCTGTGATGGCTGTGGATGATACCAAGGAGGCCGTGCAGACAGCCAGCTGGCACAGCTGGGCGGCTGAAATGGAGCAAGGTTCTGCTCCATCTTTTTTTGCTTTTTAAAAATGATTAATTTTGTGGCGGGCGGCGGTGTTGGTGGTAAACACCTGTAATCCCAATGGATTACAGGCAGATGCAGACGGATCTCTGTGAGTTTGAGGCCAGCTTGGGCTGCAGAATGAGTTCTAGAACAGGTGCCAAAGCTATTCAGAGAAACCCTGTCTCAACCGCCCCAAAAGATAATTTTTTTGTTTTTAATTATGTGTCTGTGGGGGGGGGGTATGTGCATGTGAGTACAGGTGCCCATGGAGACCAGGAGAGGACATCAGTCACATCTTCTGGGAATTCTGCGGTGTGTGCTAGGAACTGAATTCAGGCCCCCTGCAACTTTTAACCATCTTTCTAACCCACCCTTCTTTAAAGATTTATTTTATGTGTATGTGTTTTACCTGCATGTCTGTCTGTGTCTCGTGTGTGTGCCTGGTGCCAGAAGAGGTCAGGAGTGGGTGTCATATCCCCTGGGACTGGAGTTACAGGCAGTTGTGAGCCATAAATAAATGCACATTGTACTTTAGAATTCGGTAGGTGCACCACTGATTAGTAATACATGCATTTTAGATTGTTAATACAGTCTTTGAAATAATTTCATTTTACATATATGGGATTTCATCTCCTTTTTCACCCCTTTTTGAGACAGTGATTTGAAAGTTGAAGTCAGGAGATATGTAGAGCCCTTGAGTCAGAAGGCTGGTGGTGTGTGAGCCTGTCTCTAGGCCGAGTGCTCATGACAGCCCTGGCGGCATCTTCCACCATGGGTCTATGAGACTCTGAAAAGAGAGAGCCTTCTTTCCCAGCACCTAGAGAGAAGCAGCAAATGCAGGGGGAAAGCATTTGCTGGTGTTAGTGTGTGTGAGCTCACTGTCTGTGCCGTTGATTTTGTTCTTCAGAAGTCCTCTAGGACTTTCCTAATGGCTTTGAAGGTATCAGAATCCCTCCTCCAAACTGAATTCTGTAGAGTCTGGAATGTTGTATGAGTTCTACTAAGAGAGGATCTGCCAAAGTCTCCAGAAAGCATCCTGAGTGGGTAGAGAGATAAATATGGGAGTTATAAGGCAAAGCTGATGCTGTAACATGTAACATGTAAACACACATGTGGATTATATGTATGCACACACATGTATTTTTTAAACATGCCTTTATTATTTTATGTGTGAGTATTTGTCTGCTTGTATTTGTATATACCATATGAATGCCAAAGAACTGTGAGCAGCTGTATGAGCTCTGAGAACTGAACTCAGGTCCTCTACAAGAACAGCAAGTGCTCTTAACTGCTGAGTCACCTCTCCAGCCCCTGTGTGTTTGTCTTTAGACAGAGCATCTCCATGTAGCCCTAGCTGTCCTGGAACTTGCTATATAGAACATGCTTGCCTCAAACTCGGAGAGATCCACCTGCCTCTGCTTCCTGAGTGCTGTGAAGGCATGTGCAATGCCTGGCACTTTGCTATGTTTTTAAAAATTTGTATGACATACTGGGGTGGGGAAACATCCTGAGGTCTCGAAGTATAAGTAGGAGAGTAATGGAAAAGAAAGGACATTGTTGGCAGAGGACCAGCTCCTCACAGTTCCATGGCAGTGTGGTGAGTGTGCGTGGCCACCATCCTTGAAAGTCTAGGACCCTGAAGAGCCTTGGAACTCTTTGCAACAATGTGTCCTGGCGCTTCCTGACTTTCTAGTCTTGTACATTGCCACTAGCCTCCACTTTGAATGAGAGCTGACTGACTTTTCCCTTCTCTTTCCCTAACCAAGGATAGCCAAGGATTTCTGCTTAGCCATATGATTTCCTCTCCTGGACCTGTGTGGTGGGGTCTGCCATTGCTGGAGAGCCTATTCCAGGGATCATACCCCCTTCTCCAAACCAAGGGTAGGAGCCAAGAGGAGGGGTCTGTTTAGAGAAGCACCTGGAAGGTACAGACACTGGGCATCTTTTTGTGGTGCCCAAGAAACTGATAGTGCTGTTCTGGTTGGACAGAGGATGACAGGTCCTACTGGGTGGCCAGATCCAGGGTGACGAGTCTCAGGTAAACACCAGCCTTGTAGGCACTCAGCTACCTGCGTCTAGGTTTCTTAAAGCTTGGTAAACACAGCTGTGTTTGAGTGGTTCCAGGCTGATCCACCTGGGCTAGACCTTGTTCCCTGGTGGGCGCTATGGAGCCCTATGAGCACTATGGGAGGAGAGAGCACAATCAGGCCTAGGACACACAAATCCCACACACAGCATTGAGAGCTGAAGCACTGAGTAGGTGCTTTGCCTCAGGAACATTGGAAAGTGTGTCAGTCTTGGTGCTGAGGAAATGGGAAGAGAGCTCTTCTAGGCAGGACAGGGGGACGATGAGACAGAAAGAAGCAAAGATTGTCCGTGTCTGCTGACTAGATCTGGTGCTCCTTAGACCCTCCTTCAGCTAAGGTAGTCCTGGGATGCAGCTGTGAGAAACGTAGGCCAGCTTTAGTGTAGTTGCCCTTAGCTGACTGGATTATTAGCTCCCCCCAGTGTCCAGGAGCAGTATTTCACTTCTGCCTTGACCCTGGTGGCCCATGGGTAGGCTGAGGGGCCAGTCTGACAAGCCTGCCATGTTTCCTCGTCCTCAGTCTGTCATGCAAGAGGGCAGGGGCCTAGTAGGTGCTTAAGGATCTCTGCAAACAAGAACCTAGCTAGGAGTTTGCTCTGGGATGAGATGGCTCCTATAAACCAGTCTGTGAGGTACAGGGTCTGTCTTAAGGACTGTTGCTTTGAAGGGTTGAGCGGGCTCCTATGGTGGCTGAGGGTTGCAAGTATCATCTTTGGCTAACAGAGAGCTCTGTGAGAACTGTGGTGCTTCTGAGGCCTCAGCCAGGTGACAGGCTTGCCACTACAAAGTACCCGATGTAGTTGTAAAGTACAGCTAGGCCATTGCTAGCAATGCAAGTAAATTGGCTGCCTTTGTGGAGGGCCTTTTACTCCTACCCCAGTCTATGTTCTGAATGTCACACTTTCACTCAGAGAGAGATTCTGCTTCTGAGGAACTCATGCTGTGGAAGGGCTTGCCCCAATGTGTAAGAATGGGTATGAGTACTAACTGCTGTGTTGTTTGGGCTGGTCAAAGGCAGAGATATCACAAGCCACATGTCCAACAGTAGCAGAATAGTGAGCCCTGTGCAGTGTGACATGTATGCGAAGGAATGAGGTGGCCTCTACAGAGTAGTAGACAAAGGAGCTGATTTTGTTGACATGAAGAAGCAAGGCACAAAGAATCATGTTTTTCTACCTAAACGATGACTTGTACTGGGCCCAAGAGATAGCTCAGCACTAGCAATACTGGCTGCTCTTGTAGAGGACTTGTGTTTGGTTGCCAGCTCCCACACTGGGCAGTTCACAGCTGCCTGTAATTCTAGTTCTAGGGGATCTGACACCCTCTTCTGGCGCCATGGGCACCTACAATTATGTGGTGCATATGCATACTCCCAGGCACACATAAAATAAAAACCTTTTAAAATGATTTGTTGTCAGCTGTTGAAGTCAACTAACAACTGAGGTGCCAAGACAGTGTGTGGTGCAGCCTTAACTCTAGAGATTGATGGTTTAAGTTTAGAACCAAGATTAAACACAGGTGAATACTTACTTACGTGACAAGAGACAAAGCAAAATGGGCATCATGGGATTTCACCCAGATTTGTTCTCAGTAGAGTGTACTTTCTTGTAAAACTGCACCAAAGCTTTTTTTCTGTATGTGATGGGTTTAATTACTTATTTTGTTTTTAGTGGCATTATAGGAATATGTCTGCTTGGATAACTTTATTGAATTGTATCTTTATAGATAATCCCATAATGATTTTCAAATTTATTTATGTTACAATATTCTTTTTAAAAGTGACTTGTACTAACATGTACACACACACACACACACACACACACACACACACACACACACACACACACCTGAAGAAGCCCTTGCCTCCTCTGAGACAGGAAAGGAGGGAGCTGTTACTTCACATTCTGCACACATCTGGTATTATGAACAAGCATGTACTTCTTCCATGACTTTCAAGAATCAGGACAAATGCTTTCAAAGGCAGTAGCGTGTGAGAAGAGCATCCCCAGCAGGCTCTGCCAGAGGTGCACGTGTTTCCTAGGAGCTGAACCGGACCTGCCGGGCCATGCAGCACCGCATAGTGGAGCTCATCTCCCGAGTGTCTAATGAGGAGGTCACCGAGGAGCTGCTGCATGTCAACGATGACCTCAACAACGTCTTCCTCCGCTACGAGAGGTGGGGCCAGAGTCCTCTGGGATCTTTTCCCTTAAAAAGATGATTGGCATATCAGAGGAATTTCATTCATAAACAAAGCAGGGAGAGGGAGACTGAGAGAGCCTGGGAGGTGGTCATCAGAGGTGCTCATTTGTTCTTGGATGACCGTAAAAGCGCTCTGGCTCTCCGGAGAGCAGAACAGCAGGTAGCTGACTACAGAATCCACCTCTGCTCTTTGTGAGTCCCAGGGAGGGCTGGGACCGGTCTGCACCTGCTCCCGTGAGGAGCCTTTGAATCTGAAAGGGACTGGGGGAGGGGATCCTTTACAAAAGAAAAGGATTTCCTCTTTCTTTCTAGTCTTGAAAAAGGAAAAAAAATCTTTCCCTTTGTAAATGTCAGCACGTCTGGGGTATTGAGTGAAGTAGGCATCCTGTGAACACTGCTTCTCTGGGGAAACTCACAGTCCTCCAATTCTTCCTGCAGCCAAACCACTTAAAGTGACAAACTTGAACCTTCTTTTCTCTCTCCAAAGCCTCCCACAGGACCTAGCTTTTAGTAGGTGATGGCAAGAACAGCTCCCGTCTGTACCCTGATTCCGGGCAGTTCCCAGTCGGCCCAGGGTTGTAACTTGCCTTGACTCTAGAACAGCCTTCTCCATCGAAAGAGGCTGACAGCAGTGTGTCCCTTGGAACTTGTGGCCCACTCCCTCTGCAGACTGACAGCTTTCTGTATAGGTCTGTCAGAAGGACAGGCATCATTAGGAACAGGAGACAGATTCTGTGCTTTGGATGCTCAGAAGGCTATACTGTAAATCACCCCTAGTGTTGGCTTAGCTCCTGACTGGCAGTAGGGGTGGGTGGTCCTATGCCCATCTAATGATAAACAGCACATAGATCTATAGGAGTGTGGGCTTGCTAGCCGTGTGTCCAGTTTGAGGACCCTAACACTCCCAGCCCATTGGGTCCATTCAAGGCTTAACTGTGTAGCAGGAACTAATGTGGGACTGTTGCCCATAAGTCTGCAGGTACAAAGACTTCAGAGGTACCATTGGAGTGTTACAGACCTCTGTTGAGGACCACACAAGTCTTTCTGGTTTCTTGTTGAATTTATTTTGATGAGATTTTTGTTTTATTTTGATGGGGTATAAAAAATAGGGTCTTCTCTCTCTCTCTCTCTCTCTCTCTCTCTCTCTCTCTCTCTTCTCTCTCTCTCTCTTATTCCAAACTGGCCTTGAGCTCTCTATCTTCCTGCCCCTGCCCCAGTTTCTCACAGATTACACCACCATACCCATGTGATCAGTCTTTCTTTTTAAATTTTGTTTTTTGAGACAGGGTCTGTCTATGTAGCCCTGGATGTCCTGGAACTTGCTTTATAGACCAGCCTGGCCTCAAACTCAGAGATCCACCGACCTCTGCCTCCCAAGTGCTGGGATTAAAGGCGTGCACCGCCACCATCACTGGGCTGTGATCGTTCTTAAAACTACAGTGGAAACCAGCTATCATAACATATATGTGTAATCCCAGCAGTTAAGAGATAAAGAATCTTGAAGGAAGCCTGGGCTACATAGTGAATTCTAGGCCAGCCTGGGCTATCTAACAGGACTCTATCTCAAAAAATAAAAATAAAAAAATAAAGGTACAATCTGTGAGCTGCCATGGTTCACTTAAGTCTGCCCACCTTCCTGAGTCAAGATTGACTGAGAAAGATGCAATTTTTCCTTGCTCTTCTTTTCTCTAGGATGCTAGCCAAAGTCAGAATATGCTTTCTCTGGTACTTTAGTGATTTCACTTTTTATCTAAAGCATCCCTCCCTGCCACACAATTCGTTACTCTCTTAAGCCCCTCCTATGCATTTTTAACAAACTCTCTAAAACTCAAATGCAAACCCTACAATGTACACCTACTTAGTCACACTGTTCCTTCTGGGATCCCCTGTCCCAGATGCATGTAGATGGAGTTTCTGTTCCACCTGGTTGCAAAGCCCGTTATTCCCAAACAAACACACAGAGGCTTATATTAATTATAAAAACTGTTTGGCCTATGGCTCAAGCATCTTATTGACTAGCTTGCTCTCAATTATTAACCCATTTCTATTAAACTATGTATTGCCACGAGGCTGTGGCCTACCTGTAGTGCTCCAGTATGTTACTCCCCCGATGGCTACATGGCATCTCCCCATTGACCCACCTCTCCAAGTTCCTCCTCCTAGCCTTCTCCTAGTGTGGTTGCCCCGCCTATACTTGCTGCCTGGTTACATCCTGCCTGTCCCTTGGCTGAAACAGCTTTATTCATCAACCAATAAAAGAAACATATATTTACAGCATACAGAAGGATATCCTACATCAGATACTGATGACACCCAGTAGGGGGTTGACTGCCTGGAGCAATGCCTTGCTGCCTCTCTTCTCTGGTTTCCTGGGCTGTGGCTGGAGGAAGGTATCTAGCTGACTTCCTTTTCATCTGTGCCATTTGGCACTTTTAAATAAACTCAGAACAGAATTGACTATCCCCCATGGGCATCTCACAACTTCTCCTACCAGGTATAAGGATGACTACTGGCAGAAATGATGTTTTTCTGCAGCTGCTCTCAGCTAAGCTCCATTTGTAGCCATCTGCTGACTGGGTGTGGAGGAGAGTGTCTCTGGCAGGGCCTGCTCCATCTTGCCTTCCTGGCAGTCCTTAGGTAGTTGGCACAAACTACCATGGTTTCTGGCCAGGCCTTTCTCCAGGCACCCCTGTCTCTTCCTGAGGTTGGGCTTGGGGCATTTTAGCCACAAGCTGATTAACCCCCAAGAAGAGCTCTGTGGAGGAGAGAGAGGTCTGCACTTACTGCCAGACTTCCCAAATGACCATGTGAAGACATAATGACCCAATCATACCTCCAGGGACTGGAGGAGCATCGGGCCAGATGTATGAGGAGTTAGCTAGGAGTGCTTCTGGTGGGCTCCTCTAAGAACCAGCCAGTACCCTGTCCCGGGAGACAGGAGCGCCATGTCGAGGAAAGTGTGGCACAGTTGAGCATGTGAGGTTCCCTCCACCAAGGGTGCTGGCCAGTCCCCTGCCTCTGCTGGGTTCCATTGTTCTTCTCAGCACCATGAACATGGCCACTAGGGCCTCACTCACATTCTTCTTACATCTGCTCTCCTTTCCATTAGGTTCGAGAGGTACAGGTCTGGCCGATCTGTTCAGAATGCCAGCAATGGAGTAAGTGTCCTTTGTACCTTCCTCATCTTCTGAGCGGGCACCTACCTTACTCAGACCTCGCTTCTGGTTTCCTAGCTGGAACTAAATACAAATTCTTGGGTAACTGCGGAAGGAAGACAGCTCACAGACATTAGTGAGTCACTGTTCTAGTGACTCGGTTTACTCTATGTGAGAAGGGAGAAGAGGGCAGGGCTTGGGGCTGTGTGATAACCTGGGCCCACCATGTACCCTTTCCTCATGAGTGTGTCTGGGTAGCTGGAGCCTAACCCAGGCCTGACCACACTGTCAATCTCATGTCCTCACAGGTACTCAGCGAAGTGACTGAAGACAACTTGATAGACTTGGGCCCCGGCTCCCCTGCTGTGGTGAGCCCCATGGTAGGGAGCACAGCACCCCCATCTTCTCTCTCCTCCCAACTCGCAGGCTTGGGTGAGTGTCCTAGAGTGAGGAAAGGCCTCATCTTACAGGCCTCCTCCTGGATATCTTTCTCTGTGTTAGACAGACAGACAGACCCTTTGGAGCAGTCCACGTAAAGGGGTGGGTGTTCCTGAGTCTCGGGTGCCAAATGCACCACCTTCTATTTGTAATTCCCTTCCTAAAATTTAAAGTTAACGCTTATTGGAAAGTAGAAGTGAAGGAAGTTTTGAGGATGCAGAAATTGTTTACTTTCTAAATGACAACTAACTGGCCATGTTTTATCTGGAATATTCTTTGTGCTTGAAATGATTTATTTTCACTATTAACTAGATTGAAGGTGGCAAATAGGTCTCACCCCACTGGCTTCTCAGAACACAGGTTTGAAAGACAGCTAAAGCCACATTGTTCTAGTTTCATTTCTGTTACTGTAATAAATACCCTGACAAAAAGCAACGCTGGGGAGGTTTCTTTTGCCTACAACTCCAAGTTGCTGTCCATCAATGCGGTTAGTCAAGGCAAGAACTTGATGCAGCTGGCCACATCCACAGTAACGAGCAGAGAGAGTGGGTGCATGCTTGCTTATTTGTGCCCAGCCCCCTCCCCTGCACTTATAAAGTCCAGAACCCAAACCCAGGGAATGTTGCTGCTCAGGATGGGTGGGTTCTCCTGTCTCCATTAATGCAATCAGAACAACCCTCCACAAATGTGCTCACAGTCCAAGCCTGATCCAGAGAGTTCCTCATTGAGATTCTCATCTCAGATGACTTTAGATTGTGTGAAGTTGACAACTAAAGCTAATTGTTACACATCAATCCATAAAAGAAGAACCAGTGTTGGACTGGCAATGTTTGCACAGGGCTAGGAAACAGAAAGTGGTGGCATTAGATGTTTGCCTACCTCAAACCATCCATCAGCCTAAAGTGTTCTATTGTCTGAAATTTAGGAGAAACCCCTCATTTTTCCACAATGAAAATACATGAATGACTTTGTATGTTTCATTTATGCCAAGTTATACAAAATTAACTTCTACTATTGGTATGCCTAACCACCATGGCCCTCAGAAATCTTTCCTTTACCTTGATTTTATGTTTTTTCCCCAAATAATTCTATATTCATTTCACTCCATTAACCTTTTATTCAGTGGTCTGTCAGTTGTTATGATTATGGTGTCTCAATTCCTCTGTAGTCATATATCCATAATAGAGTAGATGTCTTTGCCTTCAGTATATCTAGCTGATGACATATTTTTATATAATGGCTTTAAAGTTTTTAATTACAATGATTTATTATTTATTGTGTGTGTGTGTACGTGTGCACTTGTATCATGGTACACTTGTGGAATTCAAAGGACAATTTGTGGGAATTGGTTCTTTCTTTCCACCATGTGGGTTTTAAGGATGGAACAGAAGTCATCAGCCCTGATGACAAGTGCCTTTACCTTCTAAGCTACTCACTGGACCTGTATTGGCCCTGCCTTTTTGAACAGTCAGCCTGGAACTTGATATGTAGCCCAAGTTGGTTTTGAATTCATTGCAAGCCTCCTGCCTCAGCCTCCCAAGTACCAAGAGTTCAAGTGTAAGCCACCATGCTGGGTTCAAGTCACCACATTTAATACCTAAAATTCAAAGCAGATTCCGCTGCTTTCCTGGTGTTTTTCCATTCACTGCTTTACCTCACTGGTCGTCTCCTGTCTCCTTTCTAGCCACGCTTTTCACTCATCCCTCTCAAGGGCTAACACTTCCCGTAGCCTGGTTCTCCAAACCCTGTCTGGCCTCTGTCCATCTTCTTCCCCTCCTGCAGCACACCTCCACTCATTTTGAGCCTCTCCCAACATCGGAAGCTAAACACTGCAAGGGCTTAGCCCTCCTAACTGTTCAGTTACACATGAGCTCCTGAGGCCTGGGGCCATATTGATCCCAGCTGATGTACTTGAGCTCCGACTCTGAGTGCCTAGGAAGTAGTTTCCAGATTAAACACATGGCCCAGGTCCTTAGACTTTGTTTCCGAGTGGCTGTGGTGGGAGCACCTGTAAAGGGTGTGGTGACAAAGCTGCGGGCATGCTGACCCTTGTCCCCATCTTCTCACTGCCCAAAGTCTCTCTCCTTTTCCCTCCTTGAACAGCTTCAGATTCGGGGCAAAACCTGTTCCCCACCTAGCTTGCCCTGGCTGTCATGTATGCTGTACTGGGAGTGCTGAGGACGGCCTTGAAACTCTACAGTGTCTAACCTACTAGACTATCATTCTGACTTTTGGGGAACCCCATTAAGAACCCTTGTTTGGGGGCAAATGAGATGATGGTTCAATAGATAAAGGTACTTTCTATGCAAGCTGGATGACCTGAGTTGCATGGATACAGACACACACACATACACACACACACAGAGAGAGACAGAGAGAGAGAGAGAGAGAGAGAGCAGAGAGAGAGAGAGAGAGAGAGAGAGAGAGAGAGAGAGAGAGAATACAGTGTAATAATAAGACATTTTTACAAGGTTTTTTAAGCCCACTTTTGTTCTCATTTGCTTCTTGTTTCGTTGTCACAGACTTGGGGACAGAGAGTGTCAGTGGCACCCTCAGTTCACTTCAGCAGTGTAAGCCTCATGATGGTTTTGACATGTTTGCCCAGACCAGAGGGAACTCCTTGGCTGAACAGCGGAAGACGTATGTGGGACTCTTTCCAGTGGCTTTCTGCAGATAGTAGGGGGTGAGGGGGCATTGTCCTAGCCTGGTCACGTTGAACAAAGGCAAAGCCTTTTCTTTACCATATTTAAGACTTCTAGAAGCAGTAATGGTACACACCTTTAACTCCAGCACTCAGGAAGCAGAGGCAGACGATTTCTGTGAGTTTGAGGTCAGCCTGGTCTACAGAGTGAGTTCCAGGACAGCCAGGGCTACACAGAGAAACCCTGCCTCAAAAAACTGGAAAAAAAAAGACTGCTAGAAACTTATTAACTGCTAAAATTGAATGTGCCAGCCATATATCCATCCCCTTCTCTTCTGCCCAGGGGTTGTCTGTTCTGTCAATCATGGATTGTTCTGTCTTTCCTACAGCCCACTCAGGGTTGAGTAGAAATCCTACTTCCCTAAGCTGTCTGCCACACAGCAGACCCTGCCTCATTCTGCCCCTCCCCCACCATGGCAGAGACTTCTCCACAGCAGCCTGGGCAAAGAGACCACACAGAAATGGGGGCACTGATTCAAAAACAGACAGCCCCTGCGTCTGGGAATAGGGCACCATCCAGTTGGCGCAGCAGAGAGGCTGATGCTTATAAAATAATTACTTGGCCTTATGAAGTCTCTTCCGTTGAGAACTTGCAAGACATTTTTGACATCTTTCTCTTGAGCTTCAGTATTGTTACTCAAGGCAGGATCTTTGAAAAGTATGGTATCTCAGGCCCCAGAGGACCGACTCTAGCAGTGAGCTGGTGTCAAAACTGGTCTCCTCTCCTCATCTGCTATGAGACGGACAGCAGGAGTCCTTAGCTTCTACCCCAGCCAAGATCACACCCAAGGCAGGTACCCTGAGGTAGGAAAAGATTACAGGTCACCACCACATCTCTGCATCCTCTGGGAGAGAACTCACTGGCACTGCTTCTCCCCAGGGTCACCTACGAGGATCCCCAGGCTGTTGGAGGACTTGCTTCTGCCCTAGACAATCGGAAACAGAGCTCAGACATGGTAGGTCTTCAAGACTGGTTTTTAGCCCATAGTCTTCTGGAGATAAAGACAGGCAGTTTGGTAAAGTTGGTTGAATAATTCAGCAGAAGTTGGTTTGTATAGATGGCAGAGGCAGCCTGGGGAAGGCACCATAGGGCACCTCTGGGTGGCGGGCAGTGCACTGATACAGTGACCCTCACAAGGAAAGTAAATTCTGAACTAAGCCTCCTGCCTGCGGCCTAGTAGTGCCAGTACCAGGAGAAGGCAGTTGGGGGTCAGGACTTGTTTGTGAAGTGGCTTGGAGAGTGTCCTGTGACACTCTGGGCTTGGAAAGAGTCGAGTCAGGAGTCAGAATGTTTGGAAATAAAGGATGAAACCACAACCAGTTTATGGAAGACTTCAGAAGGACTTGTGTATTTAATACATTTTTGCAGATATTTCTCTTTTGAGCCCAACCAGGAAATAAACGGGAATGTATGCCTGTCTGCCTGGGCTGAAATGAAAGGGGACTGTGCCCACCCATCCACTGGACAAGGAAGGGCCTTTGCTTCATGAGCACCACATCTTAGCCTCCTGTTGGCCCTATGCAGAGGGACTGGTGAGGGACAGCACAGTGGCTGCCTGGCATAATGGAAAAGCTTGGGCCTGAGGGTGGGAGCTGGCATATGTCTCTCTAAACTGACTGCCAGGGGGTGCTGCCTTGATCTGGGCACCCTGCCGGTACACAGCAGTGGCCTATAGTGACGCTCACATCTACACAGTAGTCTCTGTTCTTTCCCCCATTACTTAGACTGTCTCTGTATTGAACCTAGCAAGGGAATTAGACAGCTAGGCCAGGGGCCTGCCAGTATACTGCCTAACGAAGACATGGCTCACCCCATCTGGAGCAGCCTCATGCCCCAACCAAGCTCTTTGCTCTCCTGAACCTAGGGAGCATGTGTCCTGCTCCAACTCATGCCATTATCAGTGCCCAGGCCTGGGTCCAAGTCCAGGAGACGTGGTCGACTTCTCACCCTTTGAATGCGTGGCTTGGCCTGGCTCCCTTTTTTCAAAGGTCTTGCTGATTCTAGCAGATTTACCAATGATAGTGGGCAGATTGCTGTTCCTGTTGTTACTGGGGCAAGAACTGGCCTCATCAAGAAAGACTGGCAGAACATGGGATGGTCATATGTGTCTCTGTGTGTGAACACATCTGCAGGCTGCCTTGACCCTTCATGGGCCATGCTGTCCTGGAACTGAGAATAAAGTAAGGAGAAAGTTGTGTAGCCACATATCTGCAAGTAAGGTCCCACCTCTAGTTTTATGATTTGAAGAAGCAGGAGATGGCTGACGAGGTGACTCACAGGTAAAGGCATTTATTGCCAAGCCTGAAGACTTGAGTTCCATCCTCAGAACCACATGGTGGGAAGAGAGAGCTGACTCCTTCCTACAAGTTGCCTTCTCACCTCCACCTACATAGTGGCATGTATGTACCAATGTGCATATATATGTGCACATACAAAATAAATATGTATGATTTAAAGAGGAGGTCTGTGGGCGTAGCTCACCTATCCAGGGTGCACAATGCTCTGGGATCAGCAGCAGCACTACAAATAAACAAACACAAAGACGTAAGGCAGTAAAGGAGGGCGGCGCGCCTTTAATCCCAGCACTCAGGAGGCAGAGGCAGGGGGATCGCTGAGGTTGAGGCCAGCCTGGTCTACAGAGTGAGTTCCAGGACAGCCAGGACTGTTACACTGAGAAATCCTGTCTCAAAAAAAGCAAAACAAAAGAAAAAAATTAGTTTAATGAAATAAATCTTTTAAAAAAGCTGAGTGTGGTGGCACATGCCTTTAATCTCAGCACTAGGGAGGCAGAAGTAGGCAGATCTCTGAGTTTGACCAGCATGGTCTACAGAGAGAGTTCCAGGACAGCCAGGGTTGTTACACAGAGAAACCCTATCTAGAAAAACCAAAACCAACCAACCAGCCAAACAAACAAACAAAAAGCAAAAACAAAAAAAAGAAGGCAATAAAGAATACACTGAGCTCAGCATTCAAATTGAGAACTTAAGAAAAGATGCATGGGCAACTAGAATGGAGGAAAAAAAAAGACAAAGAAAAAAAGCAGGGTAAGTTAGAAGAAAGTAGAAATGATTTTGCTCTATCAAGAGAATTAGGCCTTGGCGACTTCTCAGGCTTTGCTGAAGTCTCCAGGTGTTGAACATTTTGTTATCCAGCCTGAGGTCACAGTTACTGGCTTTTCCTTCCCTTTTCCAGGCAGGGGGTGTTGGGGGCATGCTAGGATAGCTCACATTTCCTTGTGTGAAGACCACCAAATCTGAACATTGACTTTTCTATTTACAATATGTGCTGAGTGGTGGTGGCAAATGCCTTTAATCCCATCACTCAGGAGGCAGAGGCAGGTGGATCTCTGTGAGTTCGAGGGCAGCCTGGTCTACAAAGCTACACAGAGAAACCCTGTTTCAAAAAACCAAAAAAAAAAAAATCTGTTTACAATATGTGCTGTGACTTCCTGTTGTGGGTATTGCTGTGACTTCTCTTTTTGGGACTTTTCTGTCCTTGGCCCAGCAGAGAGGGAAAGGTGGGGACTGCGACCTGCAGCCCATAGACTGCTGGCTCATGACCCAAGGAATGGTGAGAGCCACAGCTGAGTTCGCTGCCCACCCCAGACCTCACCGTGTAACAGTAGGCGCCTTCCTCTTGCCACCTGCCCAGTCCTTGTGACCAGACAGGACAGAGATCACTCACTTGTTCTGGGTGTGAAATCTCCCCTCCTGTCTACGTGGAACCCCCAAAGGCCCCAGACTTCCAGTTCCAGAACCACTTTCTTTCCTTGGCATTTTGCTGAGCCTGTGTTCCTGGGTTGTCTTGGACTGGGATGTTTGCAAGCGTGAGGGGAGGGCCTTTCCCTTCTCCCACAGACTCCTGAGTTCTTGGCAGTATTCGTTTTTCCAGGATGAGCACAAGTAATCATGGCTTGTGCTGGGGCCGGGGAGAGGGACAGGGAGAACCATTATGAGAGGATTTAGCATGATGCTCTCTCTTACCCTGTGCTAATATAACAAATAGCCTTGAGAGCTCTTGCATAAACGTATAGACAATAGTGACAGAGTCAAAAGAAGACAAAGCCAGGAGAGCTTGTATCATGCCTACAGTCCACTCTCTTTGGCACAGAGGCTTGGGAGCATCTTTCTCACCATATCCGTGCAGGTGGCCCTGAGCTGGAGAGAGGGTCCCAAGCTGCTTGCCTCAGGTTGACCACTTCATCCCCAAGTACAGTATCAAGCCTCTAGGTACACGTGGTAGGGATGGATGGAGCAGGTGAGGTACAAAGAAATGGCAGAAATAGACATGTGGACCTCTGTCAGGCCAGGGGAGGGGCCCAGATGGCGGTTGTCCATGTAGGACTTCCAAGTGACAGGCTGTGAGTGCAGACAGGGTCTGCAGGTCACAGCTCAAGCTGTGTACACTTGCCCTCAGTGAGAAAGCAGTTGTCCCTGCAAGTGTGGACTGGCTGGGCCCTGACTTTAGAGCGGGCTTCCTAAAACTTTATCTCCGTTGTCCAAATAGAGATGCTCTAGCTGTGTGTCCTGTGCCCGTTAGCCCTGCAAAAAAGGATACTGCCCTCCAAATTACCTGAGTGTGACCTGGGCAGCTGGTGATGGTGCCTGTCTTTGTTCAGACAAACAGCCTGTCCCCTTCCCTGTCCTCATGTAGAACGCCAGTCTTCAACTTCCCAGAAACAAACCCAACTAACAGCTAACTTGGCGTCTCACCTTCCTGCCTACATTTGTTTTCCCTTTAAAACAATGTGCGTTAGCTGCTTTGTCTTATTTCCCATAGTATGGAATTCCTACCTTTCCCAACCTGTCAAGTACAAAGTCTTCATATGGAAACTTTGTGTACTACTGAACGAGACCGGGGCTCTCTCTCCCACTGGGTTTGGGTGAAGTAGCACAAAGAAAGTTTCACAGCTCCTCTAGAGATAGCACCCGGCACAGCCGTACACCATCAGGCAGGTAGATCTGTTTGTGTGCCTGGATCTGGGGACAACCGTGGAAGAGTGCCTGCTTGTTCCTTCCCCTCCTGGGACCTCAGGTGTGAGGGCAGCCTGCACAGTTAGGTCGCCACACAGGTGCATAGCAGCAGGAAGTAAGCAAGGTCAGCCCAGGGTTGGCGACCTTCCCTTTCCCTAGCCCTCCATCTTTTCTGCTGCTTCTTGCTGGTGAGCAGTTAAGACCATCTCCCATTTCTAGGGCATAAGCAAGGAGATTCAGAGGGTGAAAGCTGAGTACAGAAAAGCATATCTCTGATCTTAGCACTGGGCAGACTGAGACAGGAGGCTCCTGGTGTGAACCAGCCTGGGCTACACAGAGACCAGCCTAAGCTGAATAATGGGACCCTGTCTTTCTCATACACACTCACATAAATAGTAGTAACCATGCCGGGCGGTGGTGGCGCACGCCTTTAATCCCAGCACTCGGGAAGCAGAGGCAGGCGGATCTCTGTGAGTTCGAGGCCAGGCTAGACCGACAGCCTCCAAAACAATACAGAGAAACCCTGTCTCATAAAACCAAAAAAAAAAAGTAGTAACCATGACAACAGCAATAATAGTATCAAAGCAAGAGCAGAAGTAGTAGACCATGAGGTCCTATGTTGGATCCTCAACACTGGAGGTGCAGGACGAGGAAGAACAACATTGGGTTGTGTAAGGGTAGGGCTGAAGATATGACTCAGCAGTTAAAAGCACATACTGTAGAGAACCCGAGTTCAGTTCTCAGCGCCCACATTGGGTAGCTCACAATGGCCTGTAACCACAGCTCCAGAGAAACTGATGCCCTCTTCTGGCCTCCATGAGCACTGTACTTACATGAACACACACACACACACACACACACACACACACACACACACACACACACACGATGGGCCTACTGCTGTCAGACATGGCACATCAAAGGTAAAAGCAAACAAAGAACTGGCTGGAGCCAGTGGCTGTGCCTTGCTTCTTTTCTGTTTCTAAGGTGGAGTGAGTGGTCCATAGGCGCCAACAGTAGGACTTCTGCCCACCCCCGGATCCTAGCCTGCCACCCTGGTGTCAGAGATGACTGAATCTCTCTGGACTCCTAAGATGGGCTGGCTGTTGTTACCAGGGCCCTACCCTGCCAGCCTGGCTGCTGTTTTCACATGGGAGGGTGTTCGGGTAGATTCCTTTCTCTTTCTACCCATCCTTCCTCTGTGTCTTCCCTTACCACTCTTCAACCTCTTGTAAAGTCTGCAGCTTGGATTAGTGTCCAAGAAGATGCTAAAACCATGGCAAAATAACCAAAAGCTCCCTAGACATCTGCTGGATGGGCCACTAATGTGACACATAACGAATGGTAAGGCCTCCAAGGGCCTGGTGACTTGCTCAAAGCCACAAGGCAGAGACTCCCTGCCCTGCTTCAGTCCCTCTATCAGCAGGGGGGAGAGCTGTTCCTCCCTCTTTCCTGGTCTCTGCAGGCCATATTTTCCAGGCAGTGTACATGTCGAGTCTGGGTCTGGGTGTACCCGTGTGGTAAGAGGGTGCTCTGGAGCTGCTTCATAGCTGTGCTTCTTCTGCGTCTACCCGCCTGCCTTCTGTCGCAGAAGCCTAGCTGAGAAGGGACACCCCGCTCCTCCACATGTCCCAAGGCCTGAGGGACTCAGTTCCAAAGAGCAGGTCCTTGTGTGTCTTCATTAGAACACAGACACACAAACATGGAAGCTGAGGCATCCTGACTCAGAATGTTAGTGTTAGACTCAAAATGCCACATTGCATCACCCTGTTCACAGATGAGGAAATGGAGGCCAAGCCTTGTTGAAGCACCTGGGCCAACTCCTTCACCTTCTGCCCACATAGCTGAGGCTTCTAAGACAGAAGAGGCTGGCTCCCCTATTGAAGAAACAGCTCAGAGAAGTGACTTGCCCCAGGCCTGCAGCTCAGCACTGTGGAGGGGGTTGGAGCGCAGCCCCAGTTTTGTCTTGCTTTGCTGCCATTGCAGGGATATGGTCAGCTGTTTGCAGATTTTTATAATGTGAATTACACCCAAAGCTTCACATATGGTAGGCAAGAACTCAACTTCTGAATTATATCTCTACTTATTTTTTGGGGGGGATGGGGTCTCTCTACATAGCTCTGGCTGTCCTGGAGCTCTTTGTGTAGACCAGGCTGGCTTCTAAATCACAGAGATCTGCCTGCCTCTGCCTCCCAAGTGCTGGGGCTAAAGGCGTGTGCCAGCCACCAGCCTAGCCCTCTACTTTTTAACAATAATTCTAAGAAAACAATTCTAAGGAAAACTTGAAAGATCTAGTTAGGCCTATGACCCTTTAAAACTAGTGCTACAGTGAACAGTGTTCAGCCCTCCTGCAGGAGAGCCTGTGCTCCACCCCAACACTGCAGAAAGAAAGCTCACACATGAACTCAGTTTCTTCTAGGTGCACTGAGTCAGATAAGGCAAAAGGGGCCCACATGCACCCTAGCAGCTGCCATGGATGGCATTTCTCATTGGAGAAATGGTTGCCTTTCTGAGCTGGGGACTAGGCATGGCACATGTCCTCTACGAGTCAGACATTGTGATTTATAGATGTCAAGACCATGAAAACAGCACATCCTTCCCAGGAGTCCATCAGGGTAGAAGGCCCACCTGCAGTCATGAGATGCAGGCATCTGCCATGGGCACTGTAGGCACAGCCTTTGAATATCCTCGCTCTCGCCATGAGCGAGTAATCACATCTGTTTTGTCATTGGGACTCATGTCATGGGTGTAAGAACTCCCTGAAACATTCAGTTTGGCAGTTTGAAGTGTCTGGGGTTAAAATGGCGTCAAAGAGAGACAGTGCCTAGCGGTTAGTGACCTGTTCTGAAAATGCTTGTGTGCCTGCCCACGGCAGGGTGAGGATGGCGCACAGAGCACATTCTCAGAGCCGGGGTCATCATCTTGCTGACGGAGGTGCTGCAGACATCTGCTCAGCACGTGCAGGGACCACACCTTTTTGGCAAATGATTTCAACCTCCAAAGCAGGAGCCGGCAATATGAATTCTTTGTTCTCTCCTTTTTCAGGTTGGGCTTTTTGGGTTATTTTTGTTGTTTTTTAAGAATTACTTGTACCGAGTCTTCTTATTGACTACTTAAAGTTCATTCTTACTCTAGATTTTAACGTTAAGAGTGTAGCCAACTATGGGTACAGCACCGTTGTTTTCTTTTTTTCTAGAAATAGTGGGCTAATAAGCAAGCCTGCCGGGTGGGGCACCTCTCATTCCCGGGGTAGGTAAAGAGGTGGGTTGCCCGACTAAAGGCCATTATCTCATTTGTCTAGGCAGAGAGCCAACCTTTTATTAAGGTTGGAAGGCCACCCTCACATCCAATCTGATAGCAATGTAAATGTTTTTAGTTGCTCAGGCCAAGGCATAACACCTTCTCCAATACCCATGAGGTTTGTTGGGGAGCCCTGCCACACCCCAGGCATCCTGCTCCCCAGCCCTCAGTGAACTACTTTTCTCAACTACTAAAGCTTAGACAGCTGCCGGGAGGCAGAAGAAAGGGCGAGACTAAAGGAGAGTGTGGCGTTCAGGGACACTGAGTGGTATTTTTTCCTCAAAGGAGAGAAAGAAGACTAAAGAGCCTTCTGTCTTTTTTTTTTTTTTTTTTTTTTAGTCATCAAAGCCTTATTTTTTAGCTGTGTTTCCATTAATGGTAGTGTGCCCGCTTTCTGGAGGCAGGGCACCCCCAGACCAAGGGAGCACGTGCCTGTGGTTCCTCCTCCCACTCAGAAAGCCACCTCACTGAGCAGAAGAGGCCCAGGGCTGGACTGCCCGCCTGAGAACCTGCACCTGCTTTAGCTTTAGGCATTCTGCCGCTCAGCTTCCCCTTGGGCCCAGGAACCTGTGGCCTTCACCGAGGGCAGCTGATTCTCCTGTCATGGCTGCTGCAGGACTCCTGCCTTCTTGAGATTAGGAGGTGCTCTGCAGCCCTGGCCTGAAAAGGCAAACACACACAAGCAAAAAGTTATCCATATCAAGAACAGTACTTTCTTGCACCAGCCCCTGCTGGCCAGCCTGCTTCCTCTAATTTACCACCTCATCGCTTTCCTCACCCGCCAGTCCACATAGAGCTAGCTGCCTGTGTTGCCTGTGCGTGCCCTGTAGTTGTTTTGGTCTGTGTACATTTTGGTTTTGTTTGGGGTTACTTTTGATGATTTACTTTGTTCTGGTGTTCTGTCTTCTTTTGCCTGGCTGTGTGGGGGCTGCCTGACCCCGCTGCTTGCTGCCTCTGCCTTCATAGATACCCGTTGCGCAGCCCTCTGTCATGGACGACATTGAGGTGTGGCTCAGGACAGACCTGGTGAGACTTGACTTCTACATTTTGTGTGTGGGTTGTGGAAGGCAGCTGTTCTGAGGGCAGGCCTTGGGGCTTGTGGCAGGGGCTCCACCTCCACCACGGTGGGTTGGAAGAGGGAGGGGGGCAGCTCAGCCAAGCTCACCTTCCTTCCCACCATGTGGACTCTGGTGGTGCTGGCTCTGGCACAGCCTCTTAGCCACACAGCCCCGTACAGATGTCTCACATCTGTGGAAACTAGAGAGCCCAGGTTTCACCAATCCTGACACACCCCTCCCCAGTTTCTCGGAAATGCCAAAGGTGTGTGTTTGAGTGGGTTTTCTGCTTGCTTGTTTCTGTTTCATTTTGTTTTTTGTTTTGAGGGAGGCAGATATTTTTATGTTTTGGTTTTTGTTTCTTTTCTCTTTTTTTGCCCCATGTTGGGGATTGAATTCATGGCCTTGTGCATGTTAGTGGGCAAGTGCTGCATCCCAACATCTTCATTTCTTTTTTTCTTACTTTTTTTTCCCTCACAAATGAGTGAAGGTGCTTGGTTTTAAATTCACCATCATCCACATTCCCACTGTCTTCTAGTATTTATTTAAAAGAGCTCCTGCTCCAAAAGAGTGCCCGTCTTCTTCTAGGGTGAGAAGATTGTGTGTCTGAGGGTGGCCACGGTCAACCCCTCTCCTTACAAACACTTCATTCACAGCTGCTGGGTACAGGAGGGGTTCAGTGGTGGCTACAGGTTCCCTGTGGCACCTCCCCCATGAAAGATGACAGCATGCTATAGTCAGGGGCTAACATGGCCTCTTCCCCAGGATGCCAGGCCTTCTAAAGATGCAGCCCCAGGAGGCAGCCACCTCTGGGGCAGGGAAGGTTGAAAGATCACCCCTGTGGTTTTTCCAGGGGTGCCTAGAAAGAAGTATCTCCCTCACAGATGCAGAAACAGAGTCTCAGGCCCTCTCCCAGACTAGGTATGGGGTCACATACCTGTTATCCCAACATTTGGGCAGGAGGATCAGAAGTGCAAGGCCAGCTTTAGCTACATGGTGAGTTCAAGGCCAACTTGGCTACATGAGATCCTAAAGAGACAAGATCTAACTCACAAGGCAGCAGTAGGTCCAGAGAAGTTCGGGTAGCTCAGCCCTGCTGGTGGCTTCACTCCAGCATGGTCCTTTCCTAGTGAGGCCTATGTGTAAGCTCCTTGCTAAACTAGTGTGACCCACTTAAATGTATAGAGACATACAGCACCTCCATGGTCCCTTTAGGCAGCAAGAATGGGAGCTTAGGTCTAGGGGAAGGCAGTTATAGCTCCTAGGAGGCTGTGGGGCTTGTTTCTAGGTGACAGCTTCCACTGCCAGAGGATCTACTGGAGATCAGGCCAAGGCCATCGCAGCCCCAAGCAGTTTCATCTGTTGGTGTTGGATGGCATCTTTGCAGCACTGATGTGCCTCAGCCTCATGTGACAATGGCATCTTTCCTCAGAGCCTGGTTTTGATGAGTGGGGTTCTCCTCTCTGGCCCAGGTAGGGACCAGCCTGAGCCAATTTTGGATTTTTCTTTCTTGTCCTTCTAGGAAATCAAAACCTAGACTTTTTGCTGTTTTGCTTTTTCAAAAACATTTTTTTGCACACTCTCTGCTTCTCTAATATGGTGAAGAGATTCTGAAAGCAGGAAAAGTAGAACCCCACTTGGGAAGCCATGGGTGGACAGGGGTGGCAGGGTGGGCAGGGCAGGGATGGGTCCTAATGCCATTCTCTGCTCCATCCACAGAAGGGTGACGACCTGGAAGAGGGTGTCACAAGTGAAGGTAGGCCTGGCCAGTCACCCTGCAGCCCTTCTGCTGTCTCCCTCATGACTCTCAGGGCGGCACAGGGACTGGCTCTGTACCCTGAAGCCTCTGCTGCTGGATCCATGTAGTTAGTGCTGGGCCTGAGCCTAGCCTTCATGGGGGCTCACTCTGATGGAGATGGTGCCATCCCTCTCATCTCCTTTAGGGCATGTAGGGAAGAGCATGGAAAGGTCACTAAGAGGGTGAATGGCATCTGGGCCTCAACTGATGGTCAGGTGGGAACGTGGGTCTAGCTTTCCAACAAGGCTCCTGCCCTCTCCCCGTCTGACATTACCTCCTCTGCATCCTGCCTTCCATGATGCCCCTCTGCTGGCTTCTTCCAGACCCTGCCATCTGTGTTAAGTGGTTGCTTTCTGCAGCCTTGCTTTGGCCTCTTCCTTGGGTCAGCGGAGGGTGGGCCTGTGGTGTAAGCAGGTGCTGGCCTACTCTGACAGCCCTGCCCTATGCTGATGGGGGCCAGTACGGGAGGGGGGGTATTTAGAGCTCTGAGCTCTTGGAAGGGCTCTGCACCTAGTGTTTTTTTCCAGAGCTTTTATCTGAAGAGACTGAAGGCTGTCAGACCGTTTCCCCATCATGGGGCCCACAGTAGTATACAGGGCCCTCCCCACTCATATGCCCCTGATCCAGCTTCACCAGCTCTGCATGTGGAGTCGGAAATAGTGACTTCCCTTAAGCTGGCCCCAGACTGGGAGTGCCCAGAATAACCCTGGATCTGGCTGGTTGCTCTCCTGCCAGCATCCCTCCCACCTCCCCACCACCCCCACCACCCCCACCCCGGCATGCATGTGCCTCCTGCCAGAGGGCAGCCAGGCCAGTGTGGAGCTGGAAACCAGGGTGTGGGGCTCCAGCTAAGTGGCCCCTCACCAAGCCTATCCCTCAATTTGGTTTGTTTTGCAGAATTTGATAAGTTCCTGGAAGAGCGAGCCAAAGCTGCAGAAACAGTTCCAGACCTGCCCTCACCCCCCACAGAGGCCCCTGCACCAGCCTCAAATACTTCCAACCGGAAGAAGCCAGAGCGGTCTGAGGATGCACTCTTTGCCCTGTGAGCTGTCCTGTGGTTTGCCTCCCCGTGGCAGGTCACTGCTGACTCTCCTAGTGGACACTGGGCACTGGCCACTCCCCAGCCCCTCAGCCTGCACACCTGTATCTCCATGGAAATGCCACTGTTTGCTCCCAGGCCTCCCTGGTCAGGGTGTGCTTTGCCACCTCTTCCCTGGCTGGCAACAGTGCTGACCAGAGGGCCTGTCCTCCCTCACCCTAAGGGCTCTCTTGGTCTTGGGTCTTACTAGGAAGAAGCAGCGGTCCAGCCCCAGGCAGGGTAGCCCCTTGATACTTTCTGAGCAGAGCTCCTGAACTGAGCCTCTCACCACCCCTTCCATCTAGCTCCATGGCTTCCTTAAGTGAGACATTCTGTTCCTGGGATTCCCTTCCTCCATCAAGGACTCCGGGAAAGCAGGGCTCAAGTATTTGTAACCACAGGCTTAGTCTCTCTCCTTAGACTGTGGCACTAGTGTGTCTGCACTTGAGTGGGTTCTGTGGGCTGCTACCTTGATGATCCCTCATGTCCCTGGCCCTCTCTCCATCAGTTAACCGCCAGCCTGGAACCAAGATGGGGACCTGTGGCTCTTGGTGTGAGGACGGCCCAGGGTGGTAGAGGTCTGAGGATGGTAGACAGTGCACTCCATGCACACTGTGCACACTCACACACGCATCGGCCCTGATGCCTACAGAGGGTTGTTTGCTAAAGCAACATGACTTTAATGTAGTCCCTGACTAGGCTTCGACTTCAACAACTTCCACATAGCTACCTCCCGGCCCAGCAGCAGGTATCTGTGTGCTGTGCCTGGAGGTTCCAGATGACCAGGAGCTACATTAGGCTGGAGCCATACTCTTCCCTTCCCAGATATGGCCTCAGCCTTCATGGCTGTCCCCACTTGACATGTCCCCCTGCCACCAGTTTTAGCCTGAAGCCTGATAGTCTGGGTCTGAGTAAGCGAGAGCTGGTGATACCTACTCCTGCCCTTGTCTTGACTGGTTTGTCTCCTGGCTCTGAGCAGATGACCCAGTGCTCCCTGGTCTAGCTGCTGTTACCCAGAAAAAGGAAAATGCTACTGCAGCTATATTACTAAGCATTGGGCAGGTCACCACATCCCCACGCAATGTGTGGTCAGCCTTTCCCGCTGTTAGGATGACCCAGTGCTACACCTGTCACCACCTGAGCACCAACCCCAGAAAGGGGGAGGGCTGGATTCCATTTGCAGTGGGACCAGTGCACAGGTTCTGGGCCCCTCTTAGGATGGGGCCACAGCTCTGGTTGAGAACAGAAACTGCCTATCCCAGGACCCCACGCCAAACCCAGCACCTCTCCTTCAGCAGTCTCCAGAAGGTCTGGTTAGGACTCATCTGGTAGGACCTGTGGAGAATATCATGCTGACCTGCTAACTGCCCAGCCCTCTCTGAACACCTACCATACCTCCACACTCCACCCAGGACCCTTGGCCAAGAAGAGCTTCTCTATTTCTCAAGGGCAGAGCCCTCTAAGGCTAGCCTGGCTGTTAAGGCCTCTGAAGGCTTATCACACCAGAGGAGGCTTGGGAGCCCAGTATACCTGGAAGCTTGGCCTTGGGCACAGTTTAGAAGGGTTGTCTGTGAGGATCAGCTATGCACAGTCTAAAGAGCTGGGCTGGTGGGTAGTAGGCAGTCAGGCCAGCATCTCTGAATTAAGAGGCTGCCCCCTGCTTGTGGATCATGTAGAGAGGAAGATGGGCCTCCATCAGTGAGAGAGACTGATGTGGGAGCCAACACTGAGGGTTCCCAACAAGGCTGTTTCTAGTACCAATGTCTAGAGCTGTCTCATCTTCCCGACTGCAGCTGCTGAGTGTGGCTTAGAGTAGCCCATCTGCCCTGGGGGCAGCAGGTACTCAAGGAAATCCTGTAGGCTGTCAAGAGGCCACCTTTCTGGCCTGGCCCAGCCCCACTGGTGGTTTGGTTTATATTCTTTACATCTTGTCTAGGGATAGCCTGCCCTATCCGTGGGTGAATGACGTGTGCCTGAGGCCTTTATAAGAAGCAGGCTTGGGCCTGGGGGGTGTCCTGAAAGGGGTTCAACTCAGTGAACTGTCCTGTCTTGAGCCCTCTGGTTTCCCACCATCTGTGGGCAAAGTCCTTAGAGCTGGGCCCTCTTAAGCCAGCAGCCTCCACAAGTGTTGGAAATCACAGCTAGAGTGTGTACTTAATTACACTAAATTATTGCCGGGACTCATAAGCACTAATTACACCTGATTATAGGTTAAAATATTTATTTTGTCAAAATATTTTCTTGAGGATGTGTTTAACCTTTTCTTGTTCATTGTGTGCTGAAGTGTGAAGACTGCTTCTTCCTACCTTTTTGGCCATCATGTGCAGTGAAGGAAAGTTACCAGGTGTATTTTGACCCTGTAAGCCTGCCATAGAGTGACCTCTGTCCAGGTACCAAGAAGGCAGGCTGGAGTTGGGCCGAGACTGATCAACTCATTTGTCTGTGTGTGGGACATGGGGTTTCAGAGCCAAAAGGGCTTCTTGGTAGCTGTGGCCAGAGCTGGCTTCCATTTTTCCTGTCAGCCCCTCAGTGTGAGTGACTGTGCCTTGACTCACTGCCCTTGTCCTCCTCACCTGGCCCATGCTGTCACCCACAGCACTGCTCACCCGGGAAAGTGGTGGCCAAACCCTAGGTGGCCTGGTGGCAGTGAGTTCCTTTGCTCCAACCCAAGACTTTCCTACCCACTGGCTGATGGTCTCCGATGGCTGGGGTAGACCACGGGCACTCTAGGGGCCAGGTCAGCCCTAGGTAGCTGGGAGAGCAGCAGGAGAGCCTGGTCAGTGCACAGCCTCCTTATTGTCTGCTGTTGTGATGACTGGGGTCTCCCTGTGTGCTCAGTCACTTGGTACCCACTTAGCCAAGTGCCCATCTCCAGCCCTTCTTGTTCATGGAGGTCTAGGCTAGGTTTCCCCTAGTCCCCAAGAACAGCTGTCAACCCTGTGTTCTGCCTGATCCTGCCATACTCACACCCCAGGCTCTCTGGGAGAGCAGGGGTAGTGTTTCTTCCTAAAGTTTGCACTTCATTCATGAGGATCTGAGGATCCTTGGGGCTGCTGGAATGACGGTATTGAGTTTGTTATGCTGTTGTCTTACAAGTCGGACTCTTGTCACTGTCCTGTGTTTCTGTGGGTAGAGCTGGTTCTGGAGGGTGGCTCAGCGTGACAACTAGTGTGTCCCCCCACCCCACTGGCTCTGCTTCCAAATACTGTCTCTCTAATTTGTGTTTTTGCATGTAAAGTACGCCACAATAAATAGTTGAACCAGCAATGTCTGTGTGATATCTGAGTTGCCCTGAACACCCAAAGGGCCTGAAAGTCAGTCCACCTCACTTGTTTTTTTCAGAAGATTGTATTTTAAATAATGTGTTTATGTGTGTTATCTGAGTATGGATATGTGCACTTACCAGTTCAGCTGCCCACAGAGGCATTGGAGTCACTGGAGCTGGAGTTAAAGTGGTTGTGAGCCACCCAGTGTGGGTGCTGGGAACCGAACCATAGCTCTCTGCAAAGGCAGTGTGTGTTCTTTAACCACTGAGCCATCTATCCAGCCCCCAGCCTTTTAATTCTATTTCACAGTAAGATACACTGTCTTATTGTGTAGCCCAGGCTGGCCTCAAACCCAGAGATCCTCTCACCTCTGCTTCCCTAGTGTTGAGATTAAAAGCCTGTGCCGTAAGACCATATACCTTTAACAGGCCTTCATGGATCCCTGCTGGAGGGAGCATTGTAGACCCTCTCCTTCATTCCCCATCCCAGAGGTCTAGAGAGGAAACTCCTGTGCCCTGGAGAGCGGCAGGCTTTGAGGGCGAGGGCAGGTATATGGCTGTTCTGGCTACTTAAGAGCCATGGGAATATGTGTGGTGGATTTCCCTGAGGCTCAGGCAGACATGGCAAGGCTGCTTACCCTGCCTCACAGCAGCTAGGCCTGGGGCATCCAGACCCCTTCAGCTGGGTCTCTGCCAAAAAGGCATCAGAATCTTCCAGGAAGCCACACCAAACACCAAGTCTGCAAGCCTTGGCTCCTGGAGTATGGACCCCCTCTCCCTGGCTGCAATTAATAAACAGTTCCCACTGCAGATACAGCTTAAACATGTTAAGAATACAACTGAGTGGTTTCGGTCAGAGTTGCAGGTTGTATGACAATTTTAGAACCTCTTTGTCCTTTCAAAGCAGCTCACATCTGCCCCTCCACACCTGCCTACCTTCCAGTGAGCTCCTGTGCCGCTCCAGGAGGCTGCTCTAGGGCAGGCACTACTCTGAGGCATTGTTCTTTGAGAACTTGCCTCTGCCAGCCCTGAGGTAAAGGGACCAAGTGGGAAACACAGGAGTAGGTGGAGCCAGGTGCCTAGGCCTCCTTTAGTTTGAGGACTTGCTGCCCTTCAGACCTTTCACCTCAAGTATAAGTATGTGAAACTAGTGTGACCCTGGCTAAGGACTGCCCAGTGTCACTGTGCTGGTAAAGTTGGGACTGGGGAGAACTTTGGGCACAGAGATTAAGGTCACTGTCTCCTGGACCCAGACTGAAGTCTGCTGGATGGGGGCTGTAAGGGGCAGCAGATGAAAAGACCCCAGAGACAGACTGATGGGGTCCCTACAGTCACCATACCTAGTCCAGGGTGCCAGTAGCTAGCACCTTAAGACCTGCTGTCACCCTAGGCACCAGGAGCTGAGGCCCTGACTCTGGGTAGGTGGGATGAATTGCAGGCCCTCGATAGGGAAAAAAAGGGAGGGGTGTGCCCTTAAAGTAGGGGAAGCTCACAACCCAGACCCTTCTGAGCAGACAGCAGGGATTGAGTCCCGTCTGTGCCCTGGGGCTATGCTAGGCACTGGTGGCATTAACAAGGCCAGAACCCAACCCCTACCCAGTAAAGAGCAGGTGGGCTAAGTCTGCTCTGGGCTCACAAGCACTAGTGCATTCTCTTAGCTCTTGTGCCTTAGGGGCTGCTGCTACCTGGCTTGTGCTCAGGCTCCGTCCTTGGGGAACTCAAGGCCTTGTTCAGTTCCCAGAACCAAGGCCACTCCTCTGCTAAGTGTTTGGGAACTCTGTTGGCCTGCAGGGAGGGAGGCTCTGGCGCTGCTGCTGGGGTAGACTGTTCAGGCAGGCCAGGAGGAAGGACAGGATGATCATGCTGCTCTGATTTAGCTGGCAAGTCTCCAAGGAGGGACTTCTCAACCCCCGGTAGGCACTTGCCAAAGTGCATTTTCCCAATAGGCTACTAGATGTTCCTATAGGGTAAGGGTTCTGTGGGAGAAAACAAATGCAAGAAATGTTGGAGAGGTGGTACCAGGGCCTCTTTGTCAGGGTGGAGCCTGTGACCCAAACTCCTCACTTAAAGGGCAAGTTTTACCTCATTGGTTGTGACAGAAACTGGTTAAGAAGTCAGAAAGAGGAATGTGTGTCAGGAACAGCTGTATCTAGGTGTTATAGATGAGGTTGGGTACTAGTCCTATGTGTCTTGGATCTGCTTCCTGGGGGCTGGCTCCTCCATAATAGACTAGAGATTTCCTGTAGCTTCAGGCTACAGCTCTTTCCAGTGGTTTACACAAAATACCAAGAACTCACCCTGAAAACCCTGGCTGTTAGCAGAGGAAGATGAAGCAAGCCTTCACAAGGTTTGCAGCATGGGTGGAGAAGGTCCAGCTCCTGAGGTACAGATGACGGAGACAAACTTCTGGGCTCTTCTCCAACCTGCCCCTCAGGCCTCACTGCCTCCCCTCCTGTCATTGGTGCCCTGAGAGGAGCTGAGGCCCTGTCTTGATGACAGCCCCCACCCAGCAGCCTCCACTGAAGCTCTCTGGATGAGGCGGAAGCACCACTACCCATTTACTTCTCAAGAAAAACATTTTTTTCTGGGCCTTGGCCAGGGGCAGAACCAGAGACCGCAAACCAGCATGGTACCCAGAAAGTGTTCCAGTATTCAAGGAAGCTACTGGTGTGTTCTTTCCTGACCTCCAGAAGGCTATGTTCAGGTCTCTAGGGCCAGGTCCTGAACATCCCAGTAAGTCAGGCCTCTGCTGGCTGCTCTGGTGAGTCAAATGATCCTGTAAGCCCAGAAGACTCTTGTCTGGGGCTGTTTCCTCTCTATCCGAGCAACACAGCCCACACACACGACAGTAGTGGCACAGAGAACTCACTGTGCCCCTTTCCTCGTCTGTGAATGGCCCACAGAGACTTTGCATCTCATCAACCTTTGAGTGAAATGGGCTGGAGTAGTCCCAGGGAAGATGAGGACAGAAAAAGGAGCCCGCAGCCTGACTGGAAGGATAGCCAGTTGTCAGTCTGGTATGGCCTGAAATCCAACATTCAGGTGAAACAATCTGTTTGAACATGTCACACTCCTTAGAGCAGAACCTCCTTTTAGTTTTTCAAGAGAAGATTTATTTCAGTAGCCCTGACTGTCCTGGAACCCAATCTACAGATCAGGCTGGCCCCAAACTCACAAAGATCCACCTGCCTCTGCCTCCTGAGTGCTGGGATTAAAGACGTGCGTCACCAACGCCCAGCTCTTACAGCAGACTCTTTTGACTCCTCTCCCGTACCCACCCCTTCTGTTTTTTGAGGCCTCTCTGAATCCCTCAGCAGATACTGCAATCCGTTCCCTTTTGCCTAACATTCTAAATTCTGATGAGAAGTTCCAACTGAAATCAAGAGGTGGGGGGGGGGCTGCCCAGACTGGTTGCAGACACCGACCTCCAGCAACTTCTGATGGCTGAGAGCACAGAGGAGATAACACTGCCCACTCCCAGTTCCAGGGACATCTGGTGGGCTGTGCAAGGTTTAGCACCTTCTCTATTCAGTAAGGTCAAAGTGAGTGAGTTACAGCAGCCAGAGTACCAAAAGACACGGGGCCTGGCAAGACCCCACTTAGCACATGGGCTTCCTGCCTGTGTTCATCCTAGACTCATGTTCTACTTTATGCCTCCGAAAACCCCAGAGATGGAGAATCTGCTCCGTCTCCTTCAAGTGGGTCTTGAATAAACCTGCATTTTCCCACCAGGTTCTGTCCCTCAGTTTGCAGCAGAGTGGGTAGTGGGGAGCTGGGATTCCAACAGTAACTTCCTTAGGGCTGGACTTGACTGGTGTCAGGCAATGTCATCAATTGATGTACTTTGCTCTACTCTGGGGCTCTAATACATAGCTGGCTTCTCCCCTCAATAGCCGGCATCCTCTCTCCCCCGTTTGTGAGGTATACTCCTCACTCACTGTGCACAGGCTTTGGGCATACCCAGCCCTTGTGTGGAGATCTATCAAGGGACTGATAATGCCAAGCAGTCACCTCAGTGGGTGAAACAGAGGCTCAGAGAGGCCTAAACACTTCCTGGGCAGCTTGCATGACTCCAATGAGATCATCCTTCATATAGGGCCAGGATTCTCACATGACCGTCTCTGGTATAAAGGTGGCTCTGCCCACTTAGTAGTCTGCCTGGCCCTCTCTTCCTTTGCCCAGGCAGGCCCACGCTCAGCTCCAGCAGACAAGGACGACAGGGTCGTGCAGAGTGGCCCTGGAGACTCAGCAGCTTCCACATGCAGCTTTCTGCCCAGGGCCTGCCATTCACAAGTCTGGGAACTCACAACATTGAGGACACTGCTTGGGCAGAGAGGCTCTGCACCTCACAGCTCAGAACACCAGCAGTGTCTCCGGTGCTTGGAGAGTGGGGCCCACCCGGGAGGTGCACGCTGGTCCCCCAGGTAACCAAGTCTGGGTAGGCACGGAAATCTGGGCTTTGGATGCCATGCTTGCGGTGAACCAGTCCCACCAGGCAGAGCGGGTGTCTGCAGGTTTTACAGCCCCGCCCCCGGGTCGAGCAGGCGCCGGGCATGTGACCAAAGCCCGTGTCCCGCCAGCGCACACTGATGCCGAGTCACGCCACCTGGGGCCGCGCCCCAATTGGCAGCGAACAGGGCAAGTCCTCTGGCACCGAGAGTCGGGGCGTCTCCGCGCTGCCCACCCCGTTCTGCAACAGTCCCCAGTGCAGGACAACCTCGGGCAGCGCTGGGGAGTCCTAGGCAGGTCCCTACTTCTCCTCCTGCCTCAGTTGACTCATCTGTGGAATGGGATGGGAACAGACGTCTTCCTAAGGCTGTTGGGAGGATTGAACAAGTTAATACAACAAAAGTATTCGGCTTGTCACAAACATGTCCCATGACTGCGCGGTGATGAACCAGCTGACCCAGATCACTGTTTGCCAGGCTGAGACCCCGCCCTGCCCAGGATCACCACAACGTGCTTGTGTTCTGAGCGCCAAAGACCCCACCCAGCAAGGGGT